TTATCTACATTAGATGTTGTATACACAGTTCTTGGTCATGTTCATATCTAATAGAATCTCAACTCTGGTCAGGTATCTCACATATAGAAGTGAATATAAAGGGGAGACTGGTTGTCCTTTAAAAGTAGGGCAAAATGTATGAGTAAAATTCATACCGCAAGGATGAATCATCTCAGGAGAATTTATATGAACTTTTGTGGTACTATTTAAATACATTGGTCCACTTATATAAAAAAAAAAATATAGGGAAAATTTTAGGAAGACATTTTATACTCCATCAAAATCAATAAAAACATCCATATTTTTTTATTACAACAAGTGCTGCAGCCTAAGAAAGGTCTAAATATTCTCCCCACCCAATTTTATGTATTTTTTTTTACAAATGGACCAATGTATTTAAATAGTACAAAAAAAAACCCCAAAATGTTGCTGTCCTGTTCTATAATTTCCACAGAAACTTTCTTAGAAATATTGTATGAGTTAACTAATTTTTTGGGGGCTACCTGTCCTAAGTTTCCTCTGTACAAATTCTTGAAGTACTTTGTTTACCTAGTAATAGGTAAGTATCTTTGGTATTTGTTCTAGCTTCAAGTGCAACCCAATAAAGTAACTTGTACCTGACAGATTTCCTGAACTAATAATTTCTACCTCTACACCTATCCTATAAACTAACTTGTCATACTTGTAGGAAACAATTAGAAATTAAGTTAATGCTACTTTTATATTTATCTCATTTTGTAAACACATATATCAATTTGCCTGCTTAGTTTGTAATATAATATATATCATTATTCTTTATTTACTCAGTTATAGGCAAGCCTTGATGTGCTAGTAGTGTAATGTTTAGTAGCTTGGAGACAGTTAAATCATGCTGAAAATACTGGTTCCCATTTGATCAACAAAGTTAAGCAGCATCGAGCCCGTTTAGTATTTTGATAGGGGACAACTGTGGAATAGTAAGGTACTGTTAGCAAACGTGTACAATTTGAAATATGTTTCAACTTTAAATAGCCCACAAAGGGTTGATAAACCATAAAAAAATCCCCAAACTAAAAAAAAATCAATCAAAAATTCAAAAAAAGCTTGAAATTTATCACATTTGGTAGATTAGCCTTCTGTAGACCTTCCTTAGGCCACAGCATTTGTTAAAACTGTGTTTCCCAACATCACGCAATTTGATTTTTAAGGGAAGCAATTCAAGAATGAGTTATTAACTGAATTACTTTCTAATGAGTATGAGTGTGTGTGTGTGTGTGTGTGTGAGTTAATACATATGGTGCATATACAGTATGTATACATAAAAATATGTGTATGTATGTATGTGTATGTATATATGTGTATGTATGTATGTATGTATGTACTGACCAATGTAATTCCAGAAACTACTTATTTAATTTTGGATCCTATTTCTTTTTTAATTTGTACAAAAGTTTTTGTTTTAATGATTCGGATCCTATTTATGTGTGGGCATTTCTTATGTATTTGAGCATCATGTATTGGTTGTAAAATATAGGATTTTATATCCTACACTCTTTCATGGATGACACATCCTTTTGAAACTTGTTTAGACCAAGTTAATGGCATTTTAGGCTTCCTCCCCGTCAATGGAGGCATTCACTTTTTGAATAATAAGAATTATATATCACAAGAGAGGGAGGGGGCATCAGGATTTTATAGATGCTTAGGTGGGGCATGGCCAAAAAAAAAAAATAGTTCTGAACCACTTAGAATAAGAAAATATTGAGGTTTTTATTGATTTAGATGGAAGGCTCTGTTTATAATATCAATATAATGTAAAATCTCAGTTTTCTTTTTTTTTTCAAACAGGTTCTTTTTAATTAAAGAACAGATATGTAAATTTTTAATTAAAGAAAAAAATTACATATTTTAAAGGTATAAAAATATGTAACAATATTAACAAAAAACTTGATTAAAATATGTAAAAAGCCATTTTCTCTTTAATTAAAAATGTATATATCTGTTTCTTTAATGACAAAAAATCTTTGTAAAAAAATTAAAATAAGAAATCCACGTTTTTCAAAACAATTGCTATTGCTTGTTCAAAATATTTTCTTAAAATAAAACACATAAACATATCCATTTGTTCTTTAGTAAATTGATAAAGTCAAATTTACAGCTGACCTAAAAAACAATCTGCTGTTAATTGGGGTAAGGAATGGCTTGTTTAACACCTCCAAAATGAAACTGCTATCTATTAATCATCTGAGTGATTCCTTTCTGCCTTCCATCAGCATGGCTGATGCTAACCTCCAGAAAAGTGATACATTGTGTCTTTTCAGACTAATATTTTCTGCTGACATGAAGTGGAAAGATTTGAATTGCTAGGTCTGTTGCTCGGAAAGTTGGTTCACTGTGCTGTTCTGAACAATTTTTCACTCCATATCTTACATATTTATAAATCTACCATTCGTCCATGCTTAGAGTATTGCTGTCACGTATGATCTGGTGCTCCTGCTATATATTTAGAGATTCTTCTTAAAAAATTAAATGCAGTGTCATTTGTTATCTTCTTTCTTCGTAATTCTTGTTCTTTTATTGTTCTTCCTTCTTAATAATGTTTTTCTTTTATGTATCCTTTCACACTCAAAAATTCCTTGGAACTTAGTGGCTTTATTGCCTTACTTGTGAAATCATTAAAAGAAAAAAAAAGGCATTTATTCAGTGTCAATCTGAGAACAGTGCAGAAGATTCAGAAAGAGTTGGCTAAGTCTAATTGTGATTATAACAGATCAGAAAACTCACTCTGATCATTCTGTTAAGAAAAGAATTCATGAATTTGTTGGTGAGGGCCTCAGACTCAACACTGAGGCCTACATCAAGTGCTACCCTGAGTCAAGAGGGTTGCTGCTGGAAGACACTATGTTTGGTAACAGGACTCTGGACAATGCCACACAAGCAGGAGAACCCAGTCATGGCTGTCATCACCCCTTACATCTGGCCACCTAACTCCCCTGATTGCAACACCCTTGATTACTGTGCGTGGGGTGCAGTTGAGCAAGAGACCAACAAAACTTCTTGTAACCCCAAAGATGAACTGAAGGCAATGATTATGACAGCATTCACCAATTTAAACAAGGAGACTGTCCAGAAGAGTTGCAGGAGATTCCTAAGTCGTCTGGAGGCTGTGGTTAAAGCCAATGGTGATTTTATTGAATAAATTTACTCTTTAGTATTTTAAGATATTTTGTGTAATTTTGGTAAATATATGTGTTGTGGAGTTATTTCGCAGTGAAGGCTTGTATTTGTACTAAATCGGTCCTAAATAGTTCGACGTACAAAATGTTAGGAACTTGATATAATAGGTATTACACAGAGTAATCTTGTTGTGGTCGCTGACTACTTTCGTATTCGACTGTCGTCTGACATCGACTAGTATTTAGTCACCCCTCCCCCCCGAGGGTATCATGTGGCACAAGGCCAGTTTAATATGGGATCTCCGAGCCCATGGGCTCGGCCAAAAATATACCCTTTGAACCCATATAAACAGGTTCAGGGTCGGTTTACCTCCCCGAATGAGACTCTGCCCTTTGGCGTAGCCTCGTTTGGGTTCCTCCCCGCCCAAAGGCAGAGAGTTCAACCGTTCAGCCGGTCATTCGACATCAACTGATCCTCATTTCTGTTACTACTCCTACTTATCTTAGGTGGGAGAGTCTATTAACTATAGAATAGGTGTTAATTTAATTTTTGTGTATACATCAAATATGGATCAGAAATCCAGAGAATGATAGAGTAAAGAACAAATAGGAAACGGTTATAAATCTATAAATAATAAACATATTAGATTTATAAGCAAGTTCTATTTGTTTCTTATCCTATCATTCTGTTGGATTCTGATCCATATTTGACCTATATTTGATCCCAATTCTTGTGTGTGTGTGTGTATGAATTTTTCTTAAAGGTTTCAAGTTTTACAACTGCTTCTCTATCAATCCTCAGCTAAAAAGATACAATTCCTTAAGATAAGGAACAAACAGGAAACATTTATAAATCTATAACCGCTTATAAATATTTATAAAAGTGAAATGTTTCATTTATGGACATTTCCTATTTGTCTCTTATCCTATCACATACATACAAATGTTTCTCAATTTGAAAAAAAATAAATGTACTTGACAACTAGAAATATTACTAGATTGTTAACTTCTTGCTTCATGTGTGTGTGTGTGTGTGTGTGTGTGTGTTTACACACACACATTTAATTTATTTTCATATCAGGCATCTTCTCTGACCACTAAAGAACTAAGGATGCCTTTATTTTTCTATCAGACATTGTAGTAATGAGTCTCACTTTACCTAATGGACCTTGAAAGCCTTAACGATTGTTGGCTAAAAATATCACTGACAATGTGTGTGAAAGCATCAAACCGATGTCTTTCACATATTTATCAAATAGAGATAAGCTTGAATTTATTGTCAAAAATAATATAACACGCACTGGATATTTCTGATGATTGTAAGGCTTCCAACCCTTTCTATAAGCTAATAAACACTTGTTGGATAGTATCAGAGAAGAGGCTGTGACACCAGGGGTAAGAGTCAGAAGGACCAGGTAATTTTGACTACAACACCCATGTAACTAGATATGGGTCCTTGTGGTATGAGGAATAATTGAAAATGGACTGCTATAGTCAAATACCTGGACAAAGTGCCTCTGGGATCATTGATCCTGATTTGAACTTGAAATATTGTACTTTTTTTTTTTTTTTTTTTTAAAAATAAAAATGATAAAATTAAGTAAAATAAACAAAAGTAGGCCTTTGCCTGTTGGACTCTGAAGATTTGTTTTGGGGACAAATAATATCTTAATGTGGAGAAATATGGTTAGTTCTTCGTCACAGCTGAGAAAAGGGGAAAATCAGCATGTTTTAGTGGCATAAAAAGAATGGAAAAAGTACATAAAGAGAAAGAAGTAAGTACATAAAGGAAATATAAAAAGGAAGAAAGCACAAAAATGTAGGGAGAATACAAATGGAGAGAGGTTACAAAAAGCAGGAAGAAAGTACAAATGGGGGGGGTATAAAAAAGCAGGGAGAAGATTGCAAAAAAGCAGGAAGAATACAAAAGGGGAGGGGGTTACAAAAAGGAGGAAGAAAGTACAAAAGGGAAGGGATTGCAAAAAAGCAGGAAGAAAGTACAAAAGGGGAGGGGGTTACAAAAAAGCAGGAAGGGAGTACAAATGGGGAGAGGTTACTAAAAGCAGGAAGAAAGTACAAAAGGGAAGAGGATTGCAAAAAATCAGGAAGAAAGTACAAGAGGGGAGAGGATTGCAAAAAAGCAGGAAGAAAGTACAAAAGGGGAGGGGGGTTACAAAAAAAAGCATGAAGAAAGTACAAAAGGGGAGGGAGTTTACAAAAAAAAAAGCAGGAAGAATGTACAAAAGGGGAGAGGATTGCAAAAAAGCAGGAAGAATGTACAAAAGGGGGGGTTACAAAAAAAAAAGCAGGAAGGGAGTACAAATGGGGAGAGGTTACTAAAAGCAAGAAGAAAGTATGAGATTCTTTAAGCAGAAAAGAAATTGAAATAACATTTTTTCTGTGTCCCATCCTAAAGACAATGTGGGACAACATTATTATTCTTTTCATTATTCTTTATGTCTTTAAGAGAATCAAAATAAAATAAAAAAAACACTCTTGAGCAATTTGAATCCTATAATTTTATAAAAATACAATTTGGTAAGCAAAAGTCATGAAATCAGGTTTTTTCACTTGGTATAAACTGGTTAACTGTCATGGCCTCTGACATGTGTTGTTAACAGTGGTAGGTTGTCACCCCTTGCAGTAAAAAGTCTGACTGGATAAACTGCTGCTCCATTAGTACTTGTTGTCTTTGGGGGAACAACAGAAGGTAGAGTGTCTGATGGTTGATTTAATGGTTTGAAAGTGTCTTTATTCACAGAACTTGATTGGCAACACATCGTTTGAACAATACATGAAACAGGTGACAAGTCTGACACAACAGGAACGTCATAAGAGTGAATGGCTTTTAATTTGGTAGATTTTACATCTTTTGTTTCTAAGAAAGGAGTGGCAAATTCTGTGGAGGATGCTGGGGCAACTGATGAGGATAAGGAAGATGAAGTGGTCAGTGTGAGAGCTTGGTTGCTGCTGCTACTGCCCAAGTGGCCATATTTTTCGTCTTCTGGTCCAATTGGTTCCGTCTTTATTCTAGGCCTAGTAACAGAGCTGCCAGTATTTCCAGATTTGTGTGGAGCCAGTGATGACACCACTAATTCCTTGTCATACATTGCAGCTGTATCTTTCTTGACTTGGGTGAGTTCGGCTTCGGAGATTTCTTGTTTGATATTAATAACCTGAGTGGAGATAGATGGAACAGATTGCATGGAAGTTGAAGCAGCAGATCCAAATGAAGTCATAGGATTGATTGGCATGGTCGTTTGAATCAAGGGAATGTTAGAGAAGGAAGCAGCAGCAGCCAAAGTAGGTTGGTGCATGTGGTTTGGAAGATGGCTATCACACAATTGTTCAAATTCTTTCATATCCAGTCTCCTGGCAATAATCTTTAGTTGTTCCAAAATGTCACAGTCTAAATCTAAAATGCCTTTGTACATGTATTCAGCAAATGCATTCAGTGCATCTGTGCTGACTTCCACTGGGAAATTCACTTGCAGAAACTCATTAGACAATATATCCATGTCGAACACAGAAAGCAATTTAGGGCACACAGCAGAAAGAACAAGTTTATGAACCTGAAAATAGAACAAAAAGTGAGAGGTATTTCTTGGAGTAAGACTTTAAAATCAAACAACATTATTGCTAATTAATATTATTTTCAATTTTGATGAAACATTGTCAAGTATTAATTTTTGATTAGGGTTTCTTTCATTTTACTTTTAGATGTTTCCATTTAAATATGCTGCTGCTAGTAGTAGTAGTAGTAGTATTAGTGCCGCCTTTTTATTAGATGAGGCTTTGTCAAGTATTATTAATTTTTCATTAGTATTTTTTTCTTCAAATTTTCTTTTTTGTTTTTTTATTGCAAAGAAAGGTAAAAGAAAGGAAAAGTAAAAAAAAAAAAAACATAATAAAGGAAAATAGTGAAATTAAAGTTTGACTAAAAATGTGAAAAAAGGTTAAGGAATATGAAAAGATAAATTTGTTCACATCTGACAATGGAGCCTAAATTCTTGTCTGCAGAAACAAATGCCATTTATTGTCAACTGATATAAAACTTTTAATATTTACTGATGAGTGTTATTGTCTTTTCTATTGTAAACAAAGATATTGCCCAATAAAACAAAGTAAACAATACAACATCTTCACTTATCAAATTTTATTTTTACTGAATTGTCTCAGGGGAGCAGAGTTTGTGGTAATTAGTAAGAGAAAAGTACAAATGTTTGAGATGAACTTTTTACCACTATTCCTGAAAAACAACTGCTGTTTTTTCAAAACGTTGTTTTAACTTTTTTACCATTAATAGTTGTTAGTAAGACAATAAAAATGCTATAAAAATAAAGTTAAAATATTAGTTTTAAAAATGAATACATATAAAAACAAATTTGTTAAATTTTACAGTAATTTTTGTGAAAATCACAATTTCATTTTTAGTGAAACATTTCAGTTAAATTGCCTTGAATAATGTAATATGGAAATGTTCTTATTAATTAACTTTCATGCTGAAAATAAATTTTATGAAGCTTTAAGAATTCTGTCCTATGCAATCATTTTCTATAAAAAAAAAAAAAAATTAGAACATTCAAATTATTCATAATCAGAAAAGTTTTTATGGGGCGTCTCAGCTTTAGCCACTTTACCACCATACCATAATGTAGCTTCTCTGTGACTTTTCTATAAATACTTTTGTGGTAATTGTTTGGATTATCTCTTCACTATGACACCTAGACTTTATATATTTAAGCACAATACTAATCATTTTGGTCTAATCATTTTACAATTGAATTGGTTAGATGTAACCATAAATTCTATGCTAACAGTTTCTTTTCTTGTACTTCAAGCTTGTGTTACTCTCTTTCGGCTCCATGCTTTCCAGCCAACTTTGATCTTCAAAAATTTAAATGCAATGTCAATTGTTATCTATTATCTTCTGGATTATTCTTCTATTGTTTTTGCTCCTTAATAAAATTTCTTTTTTCTTCTTCTTCTTTCAAACTCAGAAACCACTTGTATTTTAGTGGCTTTACTGCATTGCATGGGTTTATATGGTTAAAAAAAAAAAAAATTACAGGCACCATGTTGTGACTAATTTTCCAGGTTTATTTATCCTTTTTTCAAACTTTTCCTTCTATTTTCAATTTTGTTTATGATAAGCAAAAAACATAACGCATAAAAGTTGTTTGTTTCATTCAATTTTTTTAACCAAAAATTGACAGAAAAATCAAATTTTCTTGATTTCTTTATTAAAATTAAAAAATTCTCACAATTAGATGATAATGTTTTTCCTATTTAGAGATAAATAAGACACATATCTGAATTTAGTTTCTTCAACATTCATCTTTCATTCATCATTTTAATAAGAAACACTTAAAATGTTCTTTGTTTTTCTTTGTGTGTGTACTCCATTTATTAAAAGCCTGCCAAAAATATGAAAATTTGATAAATGTCGATTTTCATGCCTGCAAAATAACGGACTGTCAAAAGGATGGTTTTTCTCATGACACCACTTTTATTTTAACAATCTTCACTTTTTGGCAATATTTATCATTTTAAAAAGCAATGATTAGAATATTTTAGATGCTGATGTCAGAGTTAACGGACATTGTTCAAATAAAGTGAGGTCGTATTTTAATTATCTATTTATTCTTATATTTTTTTTATTGTTTATCATATTATAATTTTGTTATATTATTATACATTTACAATATTTCATTATTAAAATACATATTTTTTTACTTTTTTAAAAGATAAGTCAATGTATATATTGATTGTTTTTGTTTTATTTTTAAAATAAGTGTTTTAACAAGTCTATTTACTTTAAGAATGTCTGTTATCAGTCGAGATTATTATATTACGAACATTTAATGCATTGAATTTGTTAAATTACTTATACACTGGCATGAATAAATCTATTTATATTTAAGCGTAATATTTCTTTTTTTATGGAAGAGAACATAAGTTTTGAAATTGTAGGAAATGCATTTTGAGTTGTAATGTTAGTTTTGCTTATTTCTGACTATTGGTTCAGAATCGTCAATTTCTGTCCCTATCATTCAAACATTTTTAACATTTACTGATAATATTATTCTTTTATCTTTTACTTATTTATTGATTATAGTAATGTAACCTTTTTTTGATGGACAAGGACATATTTCATATTTTCAAATTTGGAAGAAAAGTGTTTTGAGTCAGTGTTGTTTTGTTTTTTTGTTACTATTGTTTGGTAGTGAATTTCTTCCTTTATTATTTATCTCTCAAATATTTATTTTTAGCAACAACAATAATAAAAATTATTCTCATATATTTAATGGTAATTTTATACTTTTATTCTTTTCTTATTTATTAGTTTATTCCTATTAGTGTTATTAAATTAATAAGTCAAAGTGGTGTATTTAATAATGAACTGTTCACACCAACATCCAGAATAAAATATATATGGTTGTTCCTTGATATCTCTGACTGTGCAATAGCTGCCTTGCTGAGACAATCTAGGCATCCTGCAGCTTTTTTTTATATTCAATAACACTTTCGTGGTCTGAGCGATGACACTCTGTGATAGAAAAAGAGGTGTACGCCATAGTCAAGGCACTGTGAAAATGGAGGCACTACCTGATTGGTTGACATTTTGAACTGATAACTGACCAAAAGTCGGTCTTGTTTATGTTTAATCCAAAAACGATGAGTAAAATTTAAAAACAAGATGATAACTAAATGGAGAATGGAGTTTTCTTGCTACTCATTTGATGTCACCTACCGCCCTGGTAAGGAGAATGCTGCGGTTGATGTTCTTTCAAGAGTATGTGGCCTGGTGACTGGCTCAGAAGGTCTTCAGGACATACACAAGGAATTGTGCCACCTGGGTATCACGAGAATGACCCATGTAGTCAGGAGCAGAAACTCGTCATATTCTGTTGAAGACGTAAAAAGAATTATGAACTCTTGTCAGATATACGCAGAAAACAAGATAAGGTTCTACAAACCACCTCCAGCAACACTCATTAAGGCCACACAACCTTTCGAAAGGCTTCACCTGGATTTTAAGAGCCCATTACCATCATAAACAGAAAATAAATACATGCTCACAATAATAGATGAGTATTCAAGATTTCCTTTCATCATCCCCTGTCTGGACATAACGACTGCAACAGTAATTCAATGTCTCTGCTCCCTTTTCTGTTTTTGGAGGGCCCACATATATCCACTCGGATCATGGATCTGCTTTTATGTCAGGTGAACTCAAGCAATTTTTGAAAGAACAAGGAGTGGCTATAAGTCGAACAACTCCTTATAATCCCCAAGGCAATGGACAGAGTGAAAGATACAACGGCATAATATGGAAGACAGTACAGTTGGTGGCCGCAAATTGCAAGAGTCCGATCACTGAGTGGGAAAGTCTCCTCCCAGTGGCCTTATATGCTATAAGTACTCTATTATGTACAGCGGCAAATGCTACTCCACATAAAAAGTTCTTCTCGTTCTTCTGATGAAGCTCAGCAAGTATCTCACTCCCATCATGGCTTGCACAACCTGAGACAGTTTTACTAAAAAACCATGTTCGCCACAGTAAACATGAACCATTAGTGAGCAAGGTAGAACTAATCAAAGCGAACCCACAGTATGTATTGGTTCGAAATTCAGAAGGAAGGCAAACTGTCTCCTTAAGTAATCTAGCCCCAGCAGGGAATGTCTTTGAATGCACAACTACTTTAGACGGAGATACATTCCCTGTTCACAGAACCAGTCTGACCCCCTCAGGTAATCTTCCACCATATACATCAATGAATTTGAATATTCCTACAGGGCCCAAACTGATTCTAGTTTGAACGATCTATCGGTATCACAAAAGCGGCTTCACCCAATATCCGAGTATGATACCTAATCTTCAGATATCAAGTGGCCGTAACGCTGAATAAAATGACAGTGTTTTGAAGCAAGATCCTTTAACCTGAAGCCAGTCAGAGAAGACAATCCCGAAACGTTATCCAGTCCAGAGATGGATGCCAAAGGTGAGCTAACAAGTCACCCCCAGAGAACCCGCAGAAGGCCAGGTCGATGGGAAGACTTTATTCCCTATGAATAAGTAGGGTTGGTGGGGGAGAATGTAGTATTCAGAAGTAATTGAGATCTTTCTTTCACCCCTGTTGAGAATGGAACAGTCGACTGTAGATATAAGCAGTTGATTTTTTTCCACATGGAAAGTGGAATAAAGCTTATCTTTAAGTTTATTGGGTTTCTTGTTTTCACTACAATTCTTAAGAACAAAGAAAATAAATACATTATCTTTCATATGTTTTTTATTAAGATTCTAAACATTGTTTTTTAAAATAGTAAACATTGCCAAAGAGTGAAAGTAGTTAAAATAATAGTGATGTCAAGGAAAAAAACTGTCCTTTTGGACATTCCATTTTTTTTGTGGGTATAAAAATACATGTTTGCTGAAAATTCTTAATGGCAAACAAATATTTGCATTTTTTTTTTTTAAAAGAAAATAATTACTTTTTGAATAAATACAAGAGAATTTCAATTCAAAATTTTATTTTGCATCGTCCTGAAAAAGATAACCAGTCACCCCCAAACTAATGTCTTTGAAAATTTTCCATCCCTGGAAAATACATGCCCAAAACAAAGGCAACCAACTTACCATGACAGTTGCCAATCCATTGCCTATACCTGCATCACAGAACTTTCCCCTTTTCCAGAGAGAGGCCAGATTTGACATAACACAACGTTGATGATCTGAGACAACAAATACTTGTTTTTCCCGGGGTCGAGGCTTTTCTACAGGCTTTGGCTTAGCCACTGTGACTTGGACTGGAGGTGGCAACATTTGCACTTGCCTTGGGACTGGTTGGGGAGGGATGGGAGGTGGTGCAGCTACCAGTAAAGGTTGTTGCATCTGCATTTGTGTACGAGATGGAAGAGATGGTTGCACTGAATGAAACACTGGTTTTTGTCTGAAATAAATTAAAAACCAAATATTTTAAAATTAGATATAATAATAATAAAAAATTTCTGTTTTCCTATTTCAATTTTCTGATGAATCATAAATCTAAATTTAACGATTGGTTAAGCTTCTTGTGAGTTCTATGACTACAAAATACCTGTGTAAATTTCCCTATTGACATATTGAACTTAAATTTAATAAAATATTGAAATACAATCATAAGTTTGAATCCAGGTCATTAAAGAAGTAAGAGGGTACAAATGAAAAGATGCAAAAAGTTTTCCATTTTACTGAAGCAGATGTTAAATGCATGAGAATGTTATCATGTCCTCTACCTTCTTTATTATGTATACTTTCCTTTCCTCACTAAAATGAAATAGCACCTTTGATATATTTTTTCCATCTTTCCTCATAATCAAAATGGATTGGTTCATTATTTATCTGAGGCAATGGCAAGGTGTTACAAATGCAGGAACAAAAAGAATTATATGATAATAATTAATGATAACAACTTACTAAATGAGTAGAAATTTCACAAATGGTGACAGCTATTTATTTTTTGTGCCTCTGCTCATCTTTCATATTTTGCCTGTTTCTTCTCATTCTTTCCCTTATCCTTTTCAATCTTCATTGCCAGTCCAGATTTTTATTTGTATCCAGCACAGAGATTAGTATTAAATGTGAAAAGGAGACAAAAATGGTACAAATACATTCTTTTCTCTTTTGCAGACACTGTTACAATTATACACAATGTGAGTCCACTTCTAATAACTGAATAACTAGCCACAACAAAAAAAACATATATATATATATATATATATATATATATATATATATATTGGCTCATTTGTTGGCCAATCAGAAGACCTGTTACATGCTGGTTACAACAATGCTGTGAAAGAGACCCCTGGATTATTTAAAAAAAATTATATATGTATGAGCAAAAAAGGAAAAGTTACTTCTCTTATACTGGGGAAAAAAAAAACCCTCAAAAACATATGGACTTTGAACTTTCAAATCTAGAAGACTGCATAAACAGTAAAAACAAACAGTTGAAATATTTTGAATTTACAAAAACACGTGTGTACTCACAGACAACATAACCCTCTGAAGATGGTTTCAAATGAGATTGAAAGAACTTGGGAAAATAAAAACTATTTGAAAGAAAATTTTGGTATTTTTCTTAACCAATTTTCTAAAACTACTAGGAAATTAATCCGTGAACTTGAAAGAATCACAAAGACTACTCAACATGTCTAAATTATTTAACCAAACCTGTTTGAATATATATATATATATATATATATATATATATATATATATATTGAGTAGCAACCTTTCTTTCAAATGTGTTCTGTTGAATATGACAGATAAGAAAAAGTTGATGAATTTTTTAAATTTAGTTTTTCTAATATTCTTACATTTTTTGGTTTGGTGTGAGTAAAGGAGTGTCAAAATTGTCTGTAGTGTCTATTGTCCCAAGCACTTTCAGCCGCTTTCATAGCCGTTTTGAAAGGGATTTTATTGTTAAGTACTGTTAATTTCTTTTCATCTGTGTCTGTTAAAGATGTAACTTTTGAGGTGTCTAAATAGTTGTAGGTTTATTTTGAGCCTTCTGAGTTGAGCATGGCTTGAATTCTGTTTTCTTGTCATAAATCAATTAGCTATATCGGTTTTGAGCAGACACTGCATTTATCCAACCAAAGTGCCATAAAAAGACACTTATCCACACATAATTTACAACAACCCATAAGGAAGATTCTGGTTGATAACACTAACATCTTATATAGGTCCTGTAACCGAAGGCATTTTGGTGTGAGAGAGGCCCTTTACATAAAATATATGGGGCCCAGTATAAATCTCACCTTATTTAGTAGTGGAAATGGTGTATTAAATGTATTTTAAAATAGAATTCCAGCCACACTTAGCTCACAAAGCTCAGAATAAACCTACTACTATTTATACACTACAAAAACTTAAACAGACAAATATGAAAAGAAATTAACAACACTTAACCAAAACCGCTTGAAAAAAACACTTGAGACAAAAGACACTACGGACAATTTTTACATTCCCTTACTCAGACCAAAAGAAAAAAAATAAGAATATTAGAAAAACTATATATATATATATATATATATATATATATATATATATATATATATACACACACACACACACACACGTGTGTGTGTGTGCATAATTTCCAATATAACTAAAAATATATTTCTAAAATATATATGACATAAATTAATCCTAAAGTAAAATAATATACATATTAATCACATTATATATAAAAAAAAAAATCAACAAGATCATTTATTCACTGTTGTTTATTAGACATTAAATTATGTCACTTAGCATCCTCCATAATTTACTTTGACATCTCAGTTAATCTGATGAATGTTTCTTAAATTTATAAAAACTAGCAACATTTTTACTTTCATTTATAAATACTTGTTACAAAATAAAATCCTTACATTTGCCTTAATAAAGTCAATCAGAGGATATGTGTTGATTAAGTTTTCCTTTTGTCTTTTATATATATATATATATATATATATATATATATATATATATATATATATATATATATATATATATATATAAATATAAATGTATATAAAATAAATAGAAAAAAAAAAAAACACACATCACACTTTGCCTATGTCACAACGCACACTCGTTCTACAAAACTCGCAATTTGTCTCTTCTTAACCGGATGTTGATTTAAAGTCGAAAGCTTGAACTATATTTCTTCTGAAATTAACTTTGGCTAATTTCTGATGGAATTTCCTTCTTATTTGTGAAGGATTATTTGTAATTTTAAAAATTCAATCATTAAAACACTAATTGACACAAAATGTTTGTTGTCTTTAATATTTGCCTTAAAGAACATTTTCTGCTTAAATACACAGAAGATATAAAGAAATATAGTTTTAAAGGTGTGCTATATTTATGAATAAAGTGCTCAATATCAGAGATAGAGCGTATGTAAATATAAAGGTGAACATTGAAGTCAACATGGCCTGACAATTGCATCTAGCATGAAACACCCTGTCTGTTTCATGCTTGAATGCAATCTACAGGCCATGAAGACTGTGTTTGAACATGAAACAGACTTCTGCCACTTGGTTTTCACCTTAGTGTCCAATTGTCTCTAGTAGTTAATATTAACTTCATTTTAAATTATGCAGTAAAAGTGCCCAATATAAGAAAACAGAGCTTATATAAAAAAAAAATATTACCTTAGCCAGCCGAGTTTCACCCTGTAAGCAGGGAATCTCAGGTCAGTACATATTAATATTTTAAATTGCATTTGCTACTTTCATATTTAAGTATGGAAGTAGCTGACACAGTTTAAAATAAAAATACATTCTGGCCTGATGATCCCTGTTTACATGCTAAAACTTGAATTGCTCACATAATATTTTTATATTGTGTGTGTGTGTGTGTGTGTGTACAATAAATAAAGCTTTGATTTTCTCCATTTTATACTTACTCTCTTTTTTCAAAGCATTGGTTTTCAAATCGTCTTCCAGTTTTCTTTTGAAATTTGGCAGCAGATGGTTGTGACAAAGAATCATGTTGACTCAAGGAATTCACAACAGGAGATGCAGTTAAAGTTGCAGAAGTATTCCTTGTCCTTCTGGTGGTTCCTAGTTTGCCAGAATAGCCCTGATTGGATGGCCCCTGATGGGATGGTGCAGCCTTAAATGACAATTCAGTTGACAGAATAGAATAGCATTTATGAGAAAGGAAATATCTTTGTCCTATATCAAGAAAAAAAAAGTGTTTATCACAAACTTCACTCTGGTAAATATAAATTTGCTGTTTTTTTTTGTAGACTACAAAAGAGGGAAAAAGAAATTGATTTATATTTTATGAATCATTGTAACCACCATCCTAATTTAAAAAAAAAAGAAACAATACAGCATAAGACTAAAGAATTCTATCACCTCCTAATTTACACTATACATAGATGTTGTATAGAATGGGATTACAAAATTACAAATAACTATACCAAATAACAAAAACATCATTACTTGAAGATTTCCAACAACAAAAATAGATAGGACATCTAACTTTGTTTGAATTCCAATTGAGATTGTTACATTCACTTATGCATAAATACCCTGGAATCCATCTCTGCTATGGATTAAATATCAGAGCAGACACAGCTCTCTATCTATGGTTGGCAATCAACCTTAGAGAAGAACAACACTGAATTTTAAACTGTACGTGTTTCTGATGATGAGATGGAGTTACCTTAAGTGAGATCTCCATTAGGTTTTGACCAAAGTGCTTTATAAAAAAAAAACAAAAAAAAAAAACTACTCATTGGGCAAAAGTTGTGCAAGGATCTGTGTAGTGGATTATGCAACTATTTCATTTTTTTATTTCATCTAAATTAAAAAGAAAATAATTATATATAATCAGGATGTCAATATTCTACACAAACAAAAACAAAAGGTTTGGAAGGAAATTCCAATCACTACTAGGAAGAAGGATAACAGTGAACTTAAGAAATCTATTTTCCTGAAAAACTGATTAAAGAAAAAACCTTTTTTGTAAATTTCAACCAACATTAATGCTAACTGTTCAGTCATTAAATGCCGAAGGTTTCCTGAATAGAAACAGTTAACTTCACTATTTTCATTTATCCTTGGGTTCATTTGAATATATTTATTTGGGTTTAAAGTGGGCTCACCACGTATACATGAGACTAGGGACAAAAAATGGCTCAAGTCCCCTCAACATTTCTTCTTTTGAGAATGCCTCAAATGTCAGGGATTAGCCCTCTTTATTGAAGAGTATTGCTTGTAGAGATGGTTTCTTAGGACTTGTGCTTGGTATGCTCTATTTAAGCAACAGTCTAAGATTACATACTAGACCGCAATGTATGCACAAAGAATTTAACACTTAACATACTGTAAAGCATTTCTATTATAATGCACTATATGCCATAATTTTGGGAAACTATCAGGAAATAAGATGTCACTACAATGAAACAATATTACTAATGTCATTATTGTTTATATTAGATCATCATTTCCATTATGACTGATAGGCATACGGCAATATTGCATTAAAATTCCAGTTCTTCAATATCAAATCTGGTTATTACTCAATAGGTGACCATTTGGAAATATCAGGTGCTGTAAACTTGGATGTGCAGGTAGTATGACTTACGGCCATATGTTGAAACAGCAGTTTTTGTATGATCACCAAAGTTAAGCAACATCAAGCTTGGTTAGTGTTCAATGGGTGACTACTTGGGAATACCAGGTGCCGTAAGTTTGGATGTGCAGGTGGTATGGCTTATGGTCATATCACGTTGAAACACTGGCTTGTGTATGATCACCAAAGCTAAGCAACATCAAGCTTGGCCAGTAGCTTGATGGCTGACTGCTTGGGAATACCAGGTGCTGTAGGCTTGGAGGTGCAGTTGAAGCAATGGATAATGGCTGGCATTTGGAAATCACAGAGCAGAGTTCGAATTTCACTTGGGTTTATAGTATTCACCTATGCACAAATACTCTTGGGGAAAGGTATGAATCCACTTTTTCTTCCCCCAGCTATGGGTTAATTAGCAGGACTTTATCATGAAATCATTATCTAAAAAAAAAAAAAAAAAAAAAAAAAAAAAAAATTCTTACAATCTAAAAATATTTTCTGTCTTTAAATAATCTTCAAAAGGTTGATAAGCCATAAAAAAACAAATCAATCCACCATTAGCACTGTCATTGAAATTATTGAGATCACTGGTGGGTGCAGAGGACATAGAAATATTAATCGGAGTATTGTCCCAAACTTCAATATTGTTTTGTTAAAACATTTCTGTATAAACTGTTTAAATTCACAATTACTTTTCATGGAATCTTTCATTCTGTCATAGTGTTATAGTTGAATAGTGAATATTTTTATCACATCTGGTTTGATGCTTCTACAATATATTTAGATATTCTAGCTAGATGAAATACAAAAAAGAATCTGCAATGTTATTGGTCTTGACCTGGCATCTCAGTGTCAGTCACTTTCTCACCTCCCTAATGTAGCTGACCTGTGTTTTTCTATAAATACTTTCATGATAATTGTTCTGATGAGCTTTCCTCTTTGGTACCTAGATTTTATGAACATAAGTGCAGTACTAGATTGGCGGCCATGTTTCATCATTTTACAGTTGAACTGGCTAAAGATGTAACCATAAGTTCTATGCTAAAAGTTTCTTCTCTCACACTTCTCGCTTGTGGAACTCTCTTCCGACCTCTTGCTTTACAGTCAACTTTCATCTTCAAAAATTTAAATTCAATGTCAATTGCTATCTTTTGTCTTCTTAGTTCCTGTTCTTTTATTGTCCTCACTCCTTAATGATGTTTTTTTTCTTCTCATATTCTTCATACTCAGCAATTGCTTGCTTCTTAGTTGCTTTATTGTCTTGCTTGGGGTGAAATGATTAATAAAAAAATTAAAAAGTTGAAAATAGTTCAGAAAATATAAGTCAGATGCAAAACAACTGACATGATGTGACCATTAAATTAACAGAAGCGTTTTATAAATCAATCTCCTTTGCTAATGAGCACAAGAGTTGGGGATAAGGAATATTAGCAACTAAACATGTTCTGCTTTAGAGAATTCTCCAATTTTATTAATGTAGATAGTGGGTTAATACTTGGTGCCTGACACAGCCCATTAGGGACATGCCAAAGGAGGGGAGCAGTTGTTCCAGCATCTTATGCATGCATGGGGGTGGGGGGGGGGAGTTACACTTTTAACTCTGCTTTGTATGATTTTCCATCTGAATATTCTTAATTTAGCTAAACTTATGGTTAATGAACCATGGCCTTTCGATGCAAGTGTTGTTTAATCAAATCCCCTGGGAGTTGTGAGTTCAATCTCTGGGACAAGTAGTACCAAACATCATATAGGCTTCAGTTCAGCTAAACTTAATACACATGACTTTGTGGATAAATAAGTTAAGTGGATTGAATCACTTGACAGTTGTGAGTTCAATCCATGGGACAGGTACTGTCAAACATTATATAAACAATGGTAATATAAGTTGTTTCCTTACAAGGAAACATTTGGCATTTATTAATTCAGTAGCCAGTGCTGCTTTCAGTTGAAATTTATAAAATCTTTCTCTTAAAACAATTTTTCAGGAAAATAAGTTTTTCAAATCCTGTAGCAGTTTTCACTCTTCCCAATATTAAAGGGAAGTTTCCGTTCTAATCTTTTGTTTGAGATTGTGTGGAAAGTCAACATCTTGATTATATTATTATTTTTTCTTCAAGATAGACACAGCAACATGTGCAATTTATTTTAGTTGTTTCTGTTGTTAAAAGTCCTCAAGTAATTTGGTTTCTGTTATTTGATACAGTTCTTTGTGATTTTGTAGCACGAGTCCACAAAATTCAAAGAAGGTTAATGACACATGGTCTTCGGAATGACAGTGTTATTTAAGTTAATGTTAACAGGTACCACCAAAATGGACACCTTTTTTCTGACCTGTAAAAAAAAAAAAAAAAAAAAAAAAAAATTGCTATCCCATTTTAAAATATTTGCAAAAAGTCAGGGATCATTTTCTGATTCAAAAGAAATTTTCACTTTTTATTCATTAATGAATTATTTTTTTACTGAATAGGTTATTTTATTAAAAAACTTTGGGGAAATATTTTTTGCTTTTGATATTGTGGCTATACTTTTTAATTTTTTTTTGGTAGGGTTTCATGAAGAATCCCTGCAGCCACTATTATTTCAGTAAAAACTTCATGCAATATCAAATGAGAACACATGAAAAATTTGGCTCATATTTTACCAAAAATAATTTAATAAAACGCAAAATATAATTGTTTTGGAGAATTGGTGTTTACAAAATAGAAAAGGTTATTTTCATTCAGATTGAACAGAGAAAAAAAATTTATACTTAATATTAAAAAATAAAGAAAAAAAAAAAGAATTTAATTTTCAGTGGACTTTTGAAATTCATTCTGTTACTGTTTCGCACAAGAGCTTCTTTTATAAAATAAAGACATGTATGAAGAATCAAAAACTGTAACGTTTAATGCCATTTTCAAGTGTAAACCTTTCTGAAAAGTATTTTATTTTTTCTTTTACTGTTAGATTATTTTGGCTATGGATGTACAAAGAGGAAATTCTGATATCTCATTTTGGCTGACTAATATAGGAAGCATACAACTAATCAAATTTCATATCTCAATTCCATCATTTTTGTGTCATGAAAGCTATGTTTTCTGATATATCAGTCTGGGTGTTTTTTTGTTTTTTTGTGTGTCTGTTTTCCTGCATTAATTTATAGTTTGTTGTATAGAAGAATAACCAATACTTACTTTAGTAATTAAATGTAAGTTGTTCTTTTAAGTTTATATGCATAATTTGTTCCCTTCGACACCAATTCTTAAATTTAAAAAAAAAAAAGATAGGGTGCAATTAAATATTTTATGACATCAAACAGGTAAGAAAATAATAAAAATATAAAAGCAATGAATTAAATTCAAGTGTCATTTTAGTAAAAATAAATAAAATTATTTATTATAAGTTTAATAAATTGTAAAAAAACCCCCCAAAAAACCTATTCTTCAAGTGAGGTTAAAGAAAAAGTTATTTTTCAACATAAATAACAAATTCCTGATAATTCCATTGCTGGTCTGGGTTTTATTTTTACTTTTTTGTATAGGGGTGGAATGACAGTATTTCTATTTTGTCCTTTGACCTTACAAGCTACCACACGTAAAGATAACATTATTTTTATTGTTTTAAGTAAAAGGTAAGCATTACTTTTAGAAAATCCAGTTGATTTATCCTTAAATTTATCAACAGACTTTGAAACACATCTCTAGGACAAATAATTTGATTATTAAGAGATTTTGAAATTTGTTGTTTGTTTTTCTTGCACCAATAGTGGCATGGTGAAAAAAATGTGCTAATACCCAAAAAGTTTATACAGAAATTAATTTTTCTTTTCATTCCAATTAGACCATTATCTCTCAAATAGAACCAACATTTAAGTTCAAAGATGGTGTTTGATTTGTTGAATTATCTAAAATGCATTTTTTTTTTTTTTTTTTTTTTTTTACAAAGTCCGTGGTAGTAACTAAACTTTGGGTTTAGTAGAAGAAACATGCGACATAAGAAAGGCAAATAATTAACTATGAATTGATATTAGCAATTAATATTCACTTTTTCTATTTTGTCAATGTTTGTAGGATCTATCTTTGAAATGACATTTTCTGGTGAGGACAAAAATTCACAGGGACCATTTAATTGGTTTCCCCGAATGTACCATTCTGGTGTGAACATGCCTGGTTATTTTGAAAATGACATTAAAACATTGCGCTTGATTACTGTTTAGAAGTTATAGACAATGCAAGTTTGACTTCTTTCTCATCGCATACATAGAACGTCTGCCATTATTGGCTTTGTTTACATACGTTTGCCTTGAGTAGTCATGCAACGCAGAAGCTTCACTTGTCTTGATTACTGCTCAATGCGCAAAGTTTGAAATGAATGTATAAAAAAAATGTAAAATCCGACAATTAAAATAAAATAAAAATTACGTGCCTGAAAAGTAAAAACGGATTTTTTCCTTTTTTACAACGATGTCTTTTTTATGTGTCATGAAAGTTTCTTGAATTTCTAAAACTTCAAAAATTACATTTTTTTTTAGAGTGAGACTCCATTTCATTATCTATAAACAGATTTATCAAGGACAATAAAGAAAAATTACTATTCATTTAAAACTTCATTTTAAAAAACTAAGTGCATTTTAAAATAACATCCACGAAAATCATGCAGTAATCAAGACCAGTAAGACACAAAAATCTGTAAAAAAGCCACTAACTAAGTAAGCTTAGGAAAATGTACGTAAACAAAGCCAGTAAAGAAAGAGATCAAATTACATTGACGATAAATTGAAAGTGGTAATCAAGCATAATGTTTTAATGCCATTTTTGAAATAACCAGGCAATTTCACACAAGAATGGTACATTCTCAATACAAGAGGGTTTTGGTGCTTGTACTGCAAATTAACCTTTGGTAAATTTGCTTTTCGATCTCCAAGCTAAATATCTATTAATATTTTTCGAAATCATATTTCTGTATAAATGTACATGCCAAACTCGAATTAACAATTACAATTATGATAAAACCTACTGTTTTGGAGTTATTAACCAGAAAAAATGGATTTAATCATGGTCATTTGCCCACCATTACTGGCTTTGTGTAATTAGATTCACTGCAGATCACAATCATAACTTTTTGGCCTATTTATTGTTTTCACTGCTCTTACTCATTGAAATTACTGGAATTTATATGGAATTATGATGATTTCGAAAAGTATTAATAGATATTTAGCTTGGGGATTGAAAAGCAAATTTACCATCTATTCGACAATCAACGAAGTGAGGGAAAAGTAATGCTATGTTAAAGACATTTTTTCCTTCACCCTGGTGCTAATCAAACATGATGACCAAGTTCACGAATCGTCCGCTTCTCTTTCTTTCTTCCCATCTTCATTTAACTTAATGAATCTTTCACTTTGTTCCCATCTTACATTTCAAAAAAACAATGTAATGTTTAAAAAAAAAAAAAAGAAAGAAAAAATATGAAGTAAACAAGGTAAAAACAATGCATGTATATTACAAGTATAACTTCTTTCTACGTAAGTAAAATGTTGGTGACGTTATTCAATGTGAATCTATTAATTTAAAAAAGTATGTAGTTGTTAAAATGATAAAAAGAGGGTAGCAAATAAGTAAGTGCCAACATTTAAGGTATTAATTTTTAATTATTTAAATATGAAACCCTATTAATTTATTTTATTTAATTAAACATTGGATTAATTATTTATGTTCTCAATTCAACATAATCTATCTCCAGGTGTGACATTTTTTCTTTTCATCTTTGAAGATGTAATGTTATAGTTGCAAATGTTTTCTCTGAATTTGATTATAATATTGAAAAAATAACTTACACACACACACACACACACACACACACACACATATATATATTTGGTTGGATTGATGTGAGTTTGTGACCCTGGTTTTCACACTTTTGCGATCGTCAGACAAACTGATTAATTTTTTAAAATTTGGGGTTTATGTAGATTGCGTGTATTGATGTTGTTATGGAAGTGGGGGGGGGAACGTCGTCGTGATGTCATCGTGCTAACGCAAACATCGATGTATGTTCATACGCCCAATTAAGTACGCAGACACACATACACACTTGGTCGTCCGTCGGGACTCATACATATATAAACATATGTGGACAGTTTCGGATTTGACATACGTATGTATACGGGTGGTGTTGTGTCTATTCATACGCATTTGTATGTTGAAATTCAAAGATTAGAAGTGTAGCGAAAATTTCTCGTGAATTTATACATGTCATTTTTCTATTTTTCCAGTGAGTAATATTTCCTTGCATGTGTGTATATACGTGTGGTGGGGTTTTTGTAAAATTATGATAGGTAAAAATTATTATTATTTTTATTTTTTGAAAAAGTACTGAGCATATAATATATAAATAATTATATATTTTTATATATATATATATATATGCCAGAGTAATACAAAGTGAAATATTTGTTAAAACTGAACGTATTCAAAATGCTCAATACAAAGTTGGAAAACCAGACTTGCAGAACTGTTTAATATCTAAAAAGGATGAAAACAGACCAGTGCACACTACCACGGTTTTGATCTCTATGGTCTCCTCGGGTGGTTTGTTCAGCAAATCAACTACAGTGATTCAATCAGGAAAAAACTACAGAAAGTATTCAAAGGCTTGAAATTCAATATTACTGTAGAAACCAACAAAAAAGTTGTACAGTTTCTGGATACAGAGTCAAACGGAAACATCTCACCTTTTATGAAACTGAATGTGACTATCAATATGACGTCCAACCACCCAAGGAGCATAATTCTACTGAAAATATATTTAACAAAATAAAGAAGATATACATATCGGCATTAAGAGAAGAAGGACATAACCCTAACCTGCAATTCAAAGAACAGATGAGCCCAAAAAATGATAATATTATTAATAAGAAAAGAAAGAGAAATCTGGTTCAACCTGCCTTTCAACACTAACGTAATAACAAACATAAGGAAGATGTTTTCAATATATTAGATAAGCACTTCCCTAATACGTCTGGATTACATAATCTATTTAACTGAAATACGGTCAAATTAAGTTATAGCTGCACAACCAGTATGGGAAACATTATAAAAAAAAAGGAATAGCAGAAATTTAAAGCTACAAAATGACATGAAAGGCGAGAATACGACCTTATGCAATTGCATGATAAAAAAATAACTGTCCTTTAAATGGATTATGCCATATTGAATGGGTTGTATATTGTGCCGAAGTGGAAGGTGAAAATAGTAGCATAAAAAATACATCAGGTGTACTGAGGGCCAGTTCAAGAGGAGGTGGTACAATCATACCTCATATTTTAGAATTCCAGAACAGAGGTACAGCATGAAACTAGCAAGCTATTATTAGAAATTTAGAGAGAGACATAGCAATAGTCCAAGCATTAAATGGAGCATTTTAAGAAGTTAAAAGCCTAATATAATAGTCAAGAAAGAATACATGTAGGCTATGCCAAGAAGAGAAACTGGCTATAGCAATATATAAAAACAGCAATAAATTGCTTAACAGCAGGTCAGAGATCATCACCAAATGCAGACAAGTTCAGACTGGGGTTATTTAAACCTGGTTAAAATTAGAAATTTTTTCCCCCTCCACTACTTCCAGTTTCGAAAGCGCTTAAGTTGTTGAGCTCCATGTAGTTGATTTGGTGAACAAATTACCTGAGGATGCTGTAGAGGTTAAAACCGCAGTAGTGTGCTCTGGTCAGCTTTTATATATATATATATATATATATATATATATATATATATATATATATATATATATATTCAGTTGTATGGATATAAGTTTGTGACCCTGGGTTTCACGCTTTTGCGATCATCAGACAAACTCATATCCATACAACTGAACATGCTAGAGCTCTATCACTGATATTGAGCACTTTCCAATAAGTACTGCACATATAAAATAATATATAGAATATGTGTGTGTGCGCATGTTCACGACTAACAGAAATATTATTAGCAATTCCCGCACACTTTATTAGAACATTTACCTGTATAGGAAAATAAGTGTATCATTGAATATATATTGAAAATGGATATTTAGAAATGTAAGCTGTCGTTAATATTTTTGGATAGGTAAATCTACCTTTTAGACTCCTCCTCTCCTTCACCTGGTGTTTAAGAATTCCTTGAAAAAAGTATTTTCACATGAGTAATTAAAATTGCAATGAAGCACGCATAAGCAATTTATTTCTGGTGTCAATCTTGACAGCGAGTAAAAAGAGTATGTACGTTTATAATTTAATCTAAAAATCAGTGTTATAAAAAACTGTGGAATTTCCACGGACACATCTAGTTACACTTACTTAAATGTCCATTTATTAGAATAAAAAATGAAATTCTTATTTTATTTAAAGAAAAGTTTCAGTTTTAATTCAAATTTTAACAATAGTGCCGAATCTTCCCACCAAAAAAAAAAAAAAAAAAAAAAAAAAAAAGACGTCGTCTTTTTTAATTTTTTCCTACTCAGATGTACGTGATTTAATGTCAAATGAACACGAAAATGAGAAAATGATGTTGTTGATTAATTTTTTATGCAGTTTAAATAATTTTAGTTTGGGATTAATTAATTTGATATGTTAATATTTTATTTTAAATAAACAGGAGGTTATAAATTTAACAGTTTTCTTTTAATTTTTTAATGTTTACTAAACTTTTGGCTTGGGAAATAAGCAATTCTTTGGGGAATTGAGATATTTGAAAACAATCTGGGGCGTACATTTATGATTAGACATTAAATTACGTTACTTAGCATCATCCACAATTTACCTACACTTTGAAGAAGCTTTTAAAAGTTTTTATCTTAGTTTTAATTTCGAGCTATTTTCCAATAAGCAAATACTTTTATAAAATTAAATAAGTGGTGGTAACCGATCTAAAAAAATAAAATACAATGATTTTCTGAAAAAGAAACATTTAAAAAATAATTTCATTCATTTGTGAATAAGTCCTGAAAGTTTCATTAAAGTCCGACAATTATTTGATTTTTGAAAGAATTTCCAAATCAGTGTTTTGCACTGCAAAAAGATGTTGAAATTTCTCAGACTAAGTTATGGTCACTCGCTGACACAAGAAAAAAAAAAAAAGAAAGACCTTTTACTTCGAAGGTTCTAAATAGAAAAATATAATTTTTACATAAAAAAAACCTTTGATCTTTCTTCTTAATAATAAATATTTTGATAATAAAACATTGTTTTTATTCATTTTTATGCTGTTATTTTAGCGAATCTTTGTGGGTATTTCTATTTATTTACAGTGGAACCTCGGTTATCGGACATAATCCTTTCCATTCGTCCGAAAACCGAGGTAATATTCTCGAAGAAATAATGCAAATCCAGTTAATCTTTTTCTGTTCCACACACCTAAAAACATTAACAAAAAAAGAAGAAAAAAAGCATTTTATACAGAATTTTTACATCAAGAAAACAAACAAAAAAAATCATTATATAAAAAATGACAAATAAAAATAGAATAAATAAACATTTTTAAACTTCACTTTACCTTTATTGAAGATTTTTGTTGGCGTATGCCACTTCTCTTTTTAAAATTTTCTAGCCAGCCTCTACTAGCCTTAAATTCATCACCAGCTGTATCGACAATCGTTTTAGGCTTTTCTTTTACAAGGTCCCCATGCAACTGCCTTGCTTTTTCGCAAATAATTGCGTCAGAAACGCCATCTCCTGTTAACTGTTTTTCATTTAGCCACACCAACAACAACTTTTCAACATCTTCCATTGTTTGAGATCTCCGTTTCGACAACACATTTACACCTTTTGCAACATTAGCTTCTTTAATTTCTTTCTTTTTTGCCAGTATGGAGCTGATTGTTGATGTCGACTTGCCATACATCCTAGCAAGATCAGCCACGCGCATGCCACTTTCATATTTTGCTATGAGTCCTTTTTTAAATTCTATCGTGGTTCTCAATTTCTTTTTCTTTGGGGTAGCACTCGGAACTTTCTTTGGACCCATGGTGGCTTATTTAACAGTAAAACTAAATTAAAAAAAAAAAAAAAAAGACCGCAAAAACTCTAAAATGAAAATTTAAGGACTAATAATGCTAGGGAAGATACTCACATAGAGAAAGACAAAGACAAACTGAGTCACGCACACACGTGATGCTTTAAGTGGGAGCTTGGCTTGAAGTCATGCACCGACAGCGAATAGGAATGTACAGGTTCATAATGGACGGATTTCTTTGCTCGATAACTGAGGACGTGGACAATTTCCGAGACATATTTTTGCCGAAAAAAAATTGAGCAATAATCGAATTGTACGATAACGGAGGTGCTCGATAACCGAGGTTCCCTTCTCCTTCTAAAATAATTATGAATAAGGTATATTTAGGCAGCAAGTATTCATCCAAATAAGTTTGATTAAAAAAAAGAAACCCACACAAGGTCTTTCTGTTTAATTTTTCCAATTTTAAAATAAGATGTTGAGCAATGTGTTCGAAATAACAAACTTTAATAATCAAATTTGTTTAGATATTGTTAAGAGAATATATAACGGAAGTGAGTTGTGTCCCTTTGGGACCGGTGTTTCCGGTTAATGGCGGAATCTGAATAAAGTATTGTTTGTGCACCTCATCTCTTGTTTTTTTTGTTATATTCCTGACACCCCTTGACATATGTTGCCCGACTGTTGTCGGACCTTGCCCTTGATATTTACGGCTTGTACCCCTGTTTGTTATTCTCACGTAAGATGCATTTTATCTAGTTATCTTCAAAGATTCGCTCAAAAATGAGTATATACATGATGAAAAAAATGTCACAAGAACAAACCTAATAGAAACAAAGTTTCATCGTCAAAATCTTTGTTAAAAAGGAAAGGTCATTTATTATTAAATTATATTTTTTGATCCTTTTTAGAACCTTTTAAATTTTGGTCAAAAATTTTGTTTTCCTTGTGTCAGCAGGTGATCATAAATTAATATGGGAAATTTTAGCGTTTTTGTTTTTATTTTTGATACAAAAACACACTGACTTGGAAATTCTTGCAAAAATCAGATAATTGTCAGATTTCAGTGAACTTATTTTTTAAATGTTTCTTTTTTTTAGAAAATCTTTCTAGGTTAATTTGCAGATTAGGACCTGCACTCAATTTGCATTAAAAATTTCCTGAATACTTACAAAAAAAATAAAATGATTTGTTGGTGTAAAAAAATGATAAAAAATTGTAAGATTGTAATTTTTTTTAAAATTAATGCTAATTTAAATAAATTTTATCTAGGAAAAGATGTTAATGTGATTATCTTTTCATTTTAAGCTGATTCTACAATACACTTTCAGAGTTCAAGAAAAAAACAAAAGTTTTGTTTTATTGTTGAGTAAATGCTAAAATGGTTTCTATTTTTTCATATAGGTGTTTCAAAAGAAAGCTACTCCAAATCACATTTTTCACTATCCAATTCTTTATACTGCACACCTGATAAGAGTGCCAGTAAAATGTACAGAAATTGAACTCTTCCTAAATTGGTGGAGATTTAAGGAAGAATTAGATTTTCTGAGATTAGGGAAATCAATAAAAAATTCTACAACTATCCTCATTTTTACCTCCAAAAAATGTGTTTTATAAGATTTTTTTAAAAAAGGGTGTTAACTGTTTGTTGTTCAGGTCCGTTTTTCTTGAAATCCCTTTTTTTCAGGTCCCTTTTTCTGGAAATCCCTGGATTGACTTGCTCCCTTCTGTGAATGCAAGGGCCTCTGGAGTTATTTCACTTTCTCTTCACAACAATTTTCAAAAGCCCTGACTTTAAAAAAAAAAAAAAAATCATATCACTCCATGTAAGTCACTAAGATACAAGGGTTTAGTGAGAGGGGGGAAAAATAAGAAAGAAGACAAACATTATTAAGGAGTGAGGACAATAAAAGAGTAATCAAGAGGACAGTAGATAACGATTGACATTGTATTTAAATTTTTGAAGATCAAAGTTGACTTGAAAGCCTGGAGCTGGAAGAGAGTTTCACAAGCAAGAAGTGTGAGAAACTATTAACATAGAACTTATGGTCACATCTAGCCAACTGAACTGTGAATTGATGAGACCTAGTTGCCAATCTAGTACTGCGTTTAAATTCATAAAGTCAAGGTACCATAGTGAAGATTTCATCTAAACAATTACCATGAAAGCCTCTATCTATATATAAAATTCAGTGATTTGCATTAGTCTGTGTGTTACACCCTCTAAAATACCCATACATTGACCAATTGAAACCAAATTTTGGGAAGAAGTGCAAACAGGTAAGGTTGTACAAAATACAGTTGGTTTTTACTATGGTGTGTAGCTTAGTACAATAGATTTTCATTAATTTTTTTTAAATCAACCATCTCTCCGGATCAAAGTGTAGTATCTGTTCCTGCAGCTGTCAGCCAGCCCACAACTCCAGCCATCAGCAGCAGTTCCAGCCAGCCAGCCAGCCATCATCAACTGCAGCTCCAGTTTAGCCACCTCCAGCTCCAGTCATCCTTGTCAACAGCAACAATATTCAATAAACTGTCCTTTTCAAGACAGCACCCTTCACTGATTACCAAACTGTCCTCCTCAAGACAACACCCTTCTCACTCTCTCATGCAGAGATATTTTTTGCCTAGTGAACTCTAACCTTATTTTTGCTGATGTATTTCCTTTAATGAAAATAAATTTGGTAATATATTTTTTATTCAAGTCTTTGTTTTGCTTGTTGTTGTCTTCTGTCATTCAATATCTGTGGTTCAATATACCATGTGCATTAGGCTAAAAAGAAGGTTTTCAATGTAGACAATTGTTTAAAAAAATCATGTATTTCAAGTATCCTGTTGTGGTGGACCAGGGAATTGTTGATAATGGTACGTTTTGAAAATTTAAAGTATAAGTAACTGAATTACACCAGGTAAATTGTTGTAGATTGATATTTGAGGAGGAATAATGATTGATTTGATGTGTTTTTAGTAGTAATTTCTTTCATTTAACAAAATAGTGGACACTGTCAAATTGGTGTGTGGGGATAGTTGTAAATAGAACTTGCAATAGTTTCTATGATTAAATTTTTTTAAATTGATGCATAAATTATTGAAATGAACAAACAGTGCTTCACTGATAGTTTTGGTAATTAGATTTCTTTTCACAGTTTAGAAATTGAGGTACCTGTTCAAGTTTTTTTTCTTTTCTTTTTGACTGAGATGAAAAGAACTTATGATGGCATCATAGAAAGGGAAAAAAACAAAGGGACAACAATTATTACACTTGTTCATGGCAACTGACAAAAATATCAAGGATTTAAAAAAGAAAAATTAAAAAAAAGACATGATGAAAAAAGAAAATAGTAATAATAAAAAACAAAGGGTGAAGGTATATTAATTCAAGAAAGAACCCTGTAACTGATTATTAAAACTAGAAATAGTACGAAAAACATTTTTTTAAATAAATAATTAAATCATGTAGACAATAAAAGATGATGAATTAATTATTATTATTTTTTAAGCAATTCACCCCAAGCAAGGCAATAATGCCACTAAGATGCAAGGAGCTAGGAAGGAAAGAACGAGAAGACTTTAGTTTAGGTACCTCTGCTAATTCAGTATGTAAGGTTTAAAATGAATTTTTAAAAATGAAAAAGCTTTAATTGAAAGCTAAAGGATTTAAAATTTACTATTTCCACTAATGAAAATTTCTCCGATTTAACCAGGAGAGAAAACAATATTTATGAATAAAAATGACAATAGAAAAACTAGTAATTGCTGACGCGTTTCGTCCAATGTGGACTTTATCATTTTCGTATTTTGCTTTGATAAAGTCCACATTGGACGAAATGCGTCTGTAATTACTAGTTTTCCTATTGTCATTTTTATTCATAAATATTTCCACTAAGCAAAATACTCTGTGGTGTATTTCAAACAGAAATTATATTGATCGTTATCAATTTTTTTTCAGTAAAACTGATAAAAATTGGTCATTTTTGACACATTTGTAAACCAAATTTAGTTCTCGGTTTTAAAAATCTTGCAAAAATAAAATATATATTTCTGAAACGTTATTTGAGGAAAATTAGCCAATTTAAAGTTAAATTAATCTGATTTGAAACAAATATTTACTTGTAGCATAAAATGCTACATAAATAAACATTTCTTAACTACAGGGACTTGTTTTTCTGACATGTTAATTGATTTATTGACAGTTATATAAGGGGGGGGATGACCCTTAAAACATGTGACCTTTTAATAAATTTAACAGTTTGTACATCTACACTTCAGAAATTCTGCACGTAATCACACAACAAAACAAATCGAAATTCTTTTAAAAATATTCAGTTTCGTCAGATTGTAATCAGCTTTCTGCTTTAGCTTTACAATATATGATAATAAAAATATTTCCTAAGAATTATCTCATTGAAATTGAATTTCAAATTATTTAAATCTTTATAAATTATTCAATTTAAAATTGTAAAAAATAAAAACATATCTTGTAAAAATTCATTTTTCATTGAATTTTTTTCCTTTCAGACAATATTGTCTTTAAAAGCAATTAAAAGATTCTCTAATTAAATATCTTAGCTTTATTGCGTTTTTTATTTTTCGATTCAGGACAGATTTCGGTAAGACAGTACGATATTGCAAAAAAAATTTCGGTGATTTAAATTCTTCAAAGAATTCTACTTTTAGTTTTAACTAATATAGTCGTTAAAAATTATCACGATGAATTTCTCACGGTTTTCATAAAATTAAGTAAGAGGTAGAAATACATGAAAAAAAAAAAATTACCAAGATCTAACAAAAAAATTTAAAATAATTTCATTCATTTGTGAATAAGTTCTGAAAGTTTCATTAAAATCCGACAATTATTTGATTTTTGCAAGAATTTCCAAATTAATGTGACTGTCACCACAAAAAAGAGATGCAAGAAAAACAAGTTTTTTATTGAAAATTTCGAATGTTCTAAAAAGGAATAAAAAAATTAATCAAATTATTTTAAAAATACTTTGATCATTCCTGTTAGTTAAACAAAGATTTTGATGACAAAAAAACTGTTTTTAAACATTACATTTTTGGAGGAAGCAGGTTTTCATCACGGTATGCTGATTTTTTAAGCGTTTTCGTTGTGGGGTACAGGAGTCGAAGTTTATCCTTTGGTTTCTTTTAGTTTAAAAGACCAGGAAGAAGTATGTGAATAAAATGGTCAAAAAACTCAAAAATTAAGAATTTTTTAAAAATTTCGAAATAAATTTTTTAAAAAAATTACGTAAAAGAGAACGTAAAAAAAAAAATTAAAACAAAAAATAAGTAATGACAACAACAACATAAAAAAAGGAGGAAAAATAACAAGAAGAACTAATATTTTTGTAACTAAAAACGATAGCAAAACTGGACTGTGTGTCGTCGGTACCCCACATGATAAAAACTTAAAGTTTAAAAGCCAGCTGTCAGGAGTTTGAACTTTTTTCCCCCTTTTAAACAGAACTTTTTTAAAAATTTAAATCTTTCATATACTGTGGTCACGTTGCTTGACCATTTACTTGTAAAACTCACAACCCCAAATATGGTACCCTCTTGATTCTCAGATGCTGCAACTACAAAATGAAAAAAAAGTCACTGAGTCTGTAGCTGTAGTAAGATACGAGTACTTATTTAAAAAATGACCAAGCTTTATTGATTTTAGTAATTAGTTCAAGTTTTGACTTAAAGTTTTGCTTCTTTTTTTTTTTTAACTTTAAAAAAAAAAATTAATATAAATTAAATTAAATTAAAAACATTAGCGTGGTACAGAAGGCTCGACCCCCAAGAAGCCGTGGACGCGAAGGAGCCGTGGCAGTATCTGTCACTGTCAGTAAGAAATATCATTGCCTTTTTTGGGGCCGTAAAAAAGGCACATTGATATTTTAAAAAAATCTAAAAATTCACCTGATTATTGGATTTTAAAACTTTTGGTACAAGAGAGGATATTTTTTTTTTTTTTTATCTTTTTTAAGTAGTCTGTTTTCAAAATTTTTTAGAGAAAAATATTTTTTCGCGCGATTGCACCCTACTTTGTTTAAAAATCTGATGATTTTCAAATTCATTCATTCGTTTGTTGATCCTTTTAAAAAAGTCCTTGAAAAATAAATAAAACCGGAGCCTAAAAGAAAAGTTTATACAGGTGAATTTGTTTTAAACTTAAAAATAAATAAATAAACATGTTTTTAACATTTTTTTAGGACTATATTGTCTGTAATAAAAAAAAAAATTAAAACATTTTATTTTTTTTTTCATCGATATATTTTGTCATTTTTTAAAAATGCGGTTCTTTTTTAAGTCTGTTTATTTTTTCAAAACATATTGTATGATTTTTTTGAAAACTTAATGTCTTTTTTTTTTTTTTTTTTTTTTTAAATAAATATACAAAAACACTGGGAAAATATTCCCTGCAACTATTTATTATTCTTAAAATAATTAAAAAAAATATTACACGGCTGGTGATAAAATAGTAACTACGGGTGCGCAGACTCGTAATCATTTTTGCTTTTTAACTGAAAAAATATTGTACTTGTATTCTATCTAAAACACTTTTTCTGATTGCGCTACTGTAAATATTTTTTATATACTTCACTCGTGTATAAGCTATAAGTTTTTTTGTTTTTTTTTACGTTGAAAATAAAATTATTTGCTTCCTAAATTTTTTATTGAAAATTTTATTTGTTTAATTAACTTTCTTACCAAAAACTCATCAAATGCATTTATTTTTGAGCTTTCCTTAGTTTTTATAATCAACATTTCATGTGATGGTATGTTTTTCTGAATTAAATTAAAAAAAAAAAAATGTTCTATTAAAAAAAGATACAGAAAACATTAGTTTGCAAAAAATAAAATATTGATATTTTTTTTTTTACGGATAACCATACTTACAAACGAAAACAATTCAGTCTAGAAGTGTCAACATGAATTTGTATCGCTGACCATCAGCCTGTAATACAAATATTACCCTCCCGCCAAATTGACTTTTGGTTCGTATTGATTGAGATGAGCCACCGATCTTATAAAAATACATTTTTTTGTTTTTGTTTTTTTTTACATAAAATTTAGCAGTATTTGATGTAGTTAAATCGATTATAAAGTAACTATTTCCCATAAAATTGTTTTGATGTTACAATTATTATTATTTTTAATAGATTTTTATTTATTTACATTATCGGATTTCTGTGAACGGCCATTGTGATTTTGGCCGATTCAAAGAAAAAATTTGGCTTTTTGTAGTTGTTTAATTCAACCTTTATTATTTAAAGTGTTGTTTTTTTCTTTGGAAGAAGCAAATTTGTTCTCCCATGTTTGTCGAAAAAGTAAGAAACATTGTCAGAACTCATTTTAAAATTTTTAATAAATATTTCCCACAAGAAGAATTTCTTTGGAGATACTTATTTTCAAATTCTTCATTAATATTTATTTATTCATTCATTCATTTCATACTTAACTTACTTACCTGATCTGAGTTGTGGATGAACTGAACCAGGTTTTTCTGAAGATCACCGTATTTCACAGAACTAATTTTTGTTTTTCTCCTGAGTCGTTTGGCCACTTTCTTGTTGGACATAGCACGATAACTTTCCTCGTTCAATATCCACCCTTTCAAAGTTTGGCGGTCGACATTAACATCGGGGTGTCTCGCCGCTTGACTTGTGTTTTCGTTCAGTTCCCGCCATTTAGCGATCGCATTCAGTTTGTACTCTATCGAATACTGGTGTCGCCTTCTATTTAAACCTGTTACAGAAAAAAAAACAAGGAACTCAGTATATTTTCTTTTTCTCTTTAAATAAATAAATGAATAATAATAATAATGGTCTCATAAATAACAAGGAAATTAATGAATTTGCAATTAATAACGATAAAAAAAGAATATTAAAAAGAAATTATGGACTTTTTATCTTTCTTCTGACCATCGCCATAATTCAGCAATTGCTTCACCAGATGTCTACAATTAATACAATACTAGACGTGTTAGTTTTAGTACTACTCTTTCATTTGCGATTCTACCTAGTTACACTGCTTCGAAATACGGCTACAGCCCAACACCAACTACTACTACTACCACAAGCCCCGCCACTATTACTACTAAACGCTAACAGTAGTCGTCCTATTATAACATCGCCCTTTGTTACTGCTACATGTAGCAGTAACAGATCCACGAGCGAGATGAAGACAAGAATCACCTCCCTTTAACGCTACTTATTAATTGCGTGAAAACTGCACCAATATTTGGCTTTAGTTGTCAAGTAACAGACGAATTTTACACCAGAAGTAAAATGATGAGTAGGAAACCACCCACCCCATGTCTTTATGCTTTTCTTTTTCATTTATTCCCTTTTATCTGGAAATCTGAAACCTCTGCTGAAGACCGAATCACCTCAAACTGCCAAAAAAATATTTTTTACATTATTTACATATTATTCGAACTATTGTCCTCATCTTTGTCGCCATATTTATAACAACGTTTCGGCCGTTGTACGCTCCGGCCTTCTTGAGCGAAATAAAGGGTTCAGTTCGACATTCCAACCACCTGAAGAAGGCCGGAGCGTACAACGGCCGAAACGTTGTTATAAATATGGCGACAAAGATGAGGACAATAGTTCGAACAATGTAAATAATGTACATAATACCTCATCTCAGAAATATAGACAAAATATTTTTTTAGCTGATCTTATTATTATCGTTATTTATTTTTTAATCCTCTACCAAAGGTTCCAAGAAATCGGACTCAAGATAAACCTTTCCAAAAGAGGGAGTATAAAATGGAATTGAAATGAAAGCAGTGATGGCTCATAACCTTCAATCCACCATAGAAATTCAGGATGTTGAGCCAATACATACTAAACACTCCAAATACCACGGTGTATGAATCAGTTAAACCGAATTTAGTAGAGGAGATAAGGAAACTGAACGTAAAATACACTGTGTTAAGGTCTAGTTTCTCTCAACAATGCAAATTGCTACAAAACAAAAACATTAACCTAAAAACCCGAGTCATGTTCTTAAATAATCTCAGCTTACGGTCACATCACGTTGAAGCACCAAATCCCGTACGATCACTAAAGTTAAGCAAAGTCGAGTCTGGCCAGTACCTAGATGGGTGACCACTTGGGAATACAGGGTCTTGTAAGCTTGGATGTACGGGTGGTATAATGGTTCGGCGTTGTTAATCACCATCAAAGATAGAATTCGAGATAATGAAGGTTCAGATTTGAAGGAGAGAATGCAAGATCAGATTAGGCAGTGGTTTATTGAATGCAGGTAATTGTAGAAATGGAAAATTCTTTGAACTTCTTGGAGGGTGAAAAAAAAACTCAAAGTATTCTTGACCATTCTTATTTGCTATCGAGTGCTTTATATAAATATTGGATTTTTTCGTTAGTATTTACTATATTAAAAACTAATGTGTTGGGGTTTATGCGCCCAATAAGTATTCTGAGCGGTCTGCTTTGTTTCGGCAGATCGAGACGTTCTTGGCGTCATCTCGTCGGGTAGTTTTAGCGGGGGATTAGAATGCCGTCCTTGACCCCGATATAGATCGTATAGGATCAAAGTTGGGTACTAACAACCCGGACGTGAAACCATTTCGGTACTTTATCGACAGGTTTGATCTTGTCGATAAATACCGAAATGAACACCCTCGGGAGGTAGTGTGGACTTGGACTAATAGTGGCCGCTCGGTTACTGAGGTGCGTTCTAGCTACCTCGACTGAGTCTTAGTCAGGAGAGTCGATGTAGGGCTCTTAGGGTGTCCAAGTTTCCATTATGTAGTTTATTCGGATCATAGGCTAGTTCGAGTCCGGGTAAACTTAGATAAGCCTAACGTTAAGATGGCTGGTTACTGGAAATTGAACTGCTCATTATTTGGGGAGCAAGATTTCCGGTACCAGCTGCCACTAATGATACAGAGGGAACTGACGGGGGCTGTGGTGGGAAATGCCTGGTGGGATAAACTTAAATAAAAAATTAGAACGTTTGCTACTGATTATAGTCGTCGGCTCAATCTAGATAGATTAGCGGCGCAAACAGCTTGTGAGCAAAAAGTTGATCGGGCGATTAAATCCTGTGATAGTGGGGACGTAGCCTTAGCTAAGGCAGAGTTGGCCTCCTTGCTTATCAAGAAGGATCAAGCTCTGGTAGTTAGGGCTAGGTTAAAAAGAATGTCTCCTGAGGCAACGAATATGGCCGCTGAATTGCGTGCAGAGTAGGTTCGGAGTGCATCTCGGTGACATATCGTATGCGTCACATTGCCGGATAAGCGAACCGTGACCACAAACGAGGGCATATGTGAGGCTTTTCGTGAGTACTTTCAGGAACTTTTCACCAGGGAGCCCGGTCTGAGCTCTGCTCAATTCGACACCTATTTAACTGACTTTCCCTGCCTTGAGGCAGCTGAAGCGGCTAGGCGCGAGGATCCCATTACAGAGTCGGAAATCTGGTAAGCGCTGAAACAAGTTGGCCTGGACAAATCTCCGGGATTAGATAGTCTTCCGTACGAAGTGTACTTGAGACAGTCGCCCGTTTTTATTCCCTTGCTGGCACTGGTTTTCTGCAACTGGATGAAGCATGGGTCTATACCCCAACGCTTCACCAGGGGCGTAATCAAGTTGTTACGTAAGAATAAAAACGGTGGGGATGGGTTAGGTAAATTTCGCCCTTTAACTATGTTAAACACAGAGTTAAAGATTTTGGCTAAGGTCTTAGCGAACCGCTTGCAGGCTGTCCTCTCTAGTCTGATTGGCTCCGAACAGACTTGTGCTGTGAAGGGCATGACTATTCAGGACAACCTTCATATGATACGCTTGATCATCGAGCAAGTCGACAGTGAAGCCGCGCTGATCAATTTAGATCAGTTCAAGGCCTTTGATAGGGTTGACCATCGGTTTCTGGAGGCTGTCCTTTCGGCGGCAGGTTTCGGTGCGTACTTTCGCACATGGATCCGACTTCTGTATGCGACCCCCGGTGCGCTGGTGAAGGTGAATGGAGTACGATCGGAGCCTTTCATATGGTCTCGCTCCATTCGTCAAGGTTGTCCGCTTTCGCCTTTACTTTACGTTCTTGCGTTGGAACCTTTCCTTCGCAAGTTAAAGGCGAACCTGGTCTTACGTGGAATTTCCCTACCTGGCGCTACCAACTCGCCCAGGTATTCCGCCTATGCTGATGACGTTTCGGTTCTTGTGTCGAGCAGGGCCGAGATTGACGAAGTCAGCAAAGAAATCAGTGGTTAGGAGATGGTGACAGGGGCCAAGATCAACCGCGATAAGTCTGCGGTTGGGTGCGTGGAAGGGAGTTTCTCTTCCCGGACCTTTCCTCTGGACGGATGGGCCGGTCAAGATTCTTGGCGTCTGGTTCGGTCCTGATCTCCAGTTAGAAATGAATTGGTCGGAGGTGCAAGGGAAGGCCGAGATCGCAATTAATTTGTGGTCTCAGAGGAATCTTTCCTTGAAAGGGAGGGCGGAAGTATGTGTTTCACACATCTACCCGATTGTCTTTTACCGACTCTCTGTGCTTCCACTTCCGTATGACACTTTACTGGCGTTAGTGAGGCTCTTGTTCTCCTTCTTGTGGAGAGGCAAGGCCGCCAGAGTCTCTCGGGAGATCTGTTATCTTCGTCCATCTGAAGGCGGTCTAGGTATGCTTAGCATTGTGATTCGTCAATATATGCTTCGCATCGGGTTCCTGGATCGAATGTATCGCGAACCGGATGAAGTGGGCGCCTTTTGGAAGGAAAACGTCCGTAAGAACTTCCCTTCACAGGAGGCCCACCGTTTACCCAAAGTCGAGTGCTCCTTCTACCGTGAATGTCGTCGTGCTCTGAAACTCCTCTTACGGGCGTTGAATGGCCTGTCTAACGTCCAAGCGTTGTCTCGTAAGGCATTATATCAAGTGTTAGGAGGGGCCGTTCGTGATGAACTGATTGATGAGCTCGGTCTTACGAAGCAGGAGGCTCGGTCGATATGGCCTTGGGCGCCCGGGTTGAAATGGCTCAATAACAATGAGGCATCACTCACCTGGCTGGTGATGCGTGGGGCCCTCTGGGTCGCCAAGAGACCCTTAGCGGGCTTGGAGAAATATCCAAACTGCCGCCGCTGTAGTGGGGAAGTCGAGACAATTGGTCACGCCTTCTTTCATTGCAGGGTGGTAGCGCCGTTGTGCAAGTATGTTGATGGCCTCAAGGTTCGCATGCTGCCTGGAAAGTTCTTTGTCATTGAGGCCGCTTCTGTTTGTAGCAATGTGGCTCCGCCACTGACGAGGGTTGAACATTATGTGTTCTTATGCTTGCTAGGTGTTATGATAGTCGTGATTTGGACGATACGTCAGAAGGGATTCTATGAAAGCGAGAAGTTCACTTCTTCCCAACTGATCTTGTACTTTAAGCATCAGCTTAAGGTTAAGATTAGAACGGAAAGGCGGCAACTCCCTTCATCAGAATTCGGCAAAAGGTGGGTGAATCTTGCGCGTTTGTGTCGTGTGAAAGGGGCTGACCTGGAGTGACACTTTGATGCCGGTTAGGCATCATGATATTGCTTGCCTGGGTTGAACACGGGCAACCCATCCAAAAATTAGGTTAGCTTAGGTTTAGTTTTGATTCTTTAGTTTCCTTTTTCAATAAACTTAACTAGAGTATGTATGCTCATCGGTCCCTTTTATTTCTGTCCCTATTTTCTTTAAGTTTAATTTCCCATCCCCTCCCTCGTTAGGTGGTCAGTAATGTCACTTCTCTGGTGGATGCGGGGCGTTTTTCGTTTCATGTGTGTGTTTTTGTCGTAGTGTCTGAATGAGTGCGTGTCGGTGTGAGTCCTTGGGATGAACGTTTGTTTATATTATTATAGTCCCGCATTAATTTCGTCCGGTTAACTGATGTTTCTGCCACATTTAGTGATTGTGTGTGTGTGTGTGTGGGGGGTATTACTAACATGATTTTGTTTAGTTTTCTTGTAAATAGTTATTAGTTCATACTGTAAATACTCATTGGGGCTAGTTTTCAAAAGTTTTAAAACTGTTGTTTTATTCCCCTCCCCCCCATAGACGATATATTGTACATATGGGGTCTAGTTAGTATTTTCAAGGAGACATTGAGGTATTTTGGTGGGAGTGGTGAGAATGGTAAGTAAGAATGTGTTGTATTGGTGCAAGAAATATTGTTAGTATGATTGGGGTAGCGTTTGTGGCTAGTTAAATTTAGTTAAGAAAGAAGATCGACATCTTCCTCCTTCCCCATTTCGGCCTTGTGCCACATTTTCTGTTTTTACGGAAATAAATACACCAAAAGCTAATGTTCATAATTTTAAAATGCGGAAGCCTAAAATGGGAAATATCGAGTTTTCTCGCTGAAGTTATTGCAGTTACACTCTCTTTTTCCCCTTCTAAAATGTTTTTTTTTGTGTTATTTCTTATCAAGGCCACTTGAATATCAATTAAAGACAATGGCTCTAAAAGTAACTAATGAAGTAAGGCATTTTTTTCCATTAATATAAAACATCCATTACTTTTAGAACAAACCTCGTAAATAACCTACGATGTTTATCTAGGTTTACGGCCATGTCACGTCGAAACACCTTTTCCTGTACAACCACTGAAGTTAAGCAACTTTGATCCTGGTCAGTACCTATATGGGTTACTGCTTAGGAATACCAGGAGCTGCAAAGTTGGATGTGCGGGTGGCGTAGTAGATAATGGCTCGCAATTGTCAATCGGGAGCCGAGTTCCAATTCCCGTTGGGTTCGTTATATACACTTACGCGCAAATACCCTTGGGAAAATTCACGTATTTTCCCCTCCCCCTCGTAAGACTTGTAGCCTTAACCAGTTATTATCTCCTCCCACCAAAAAAAAAAAAAAAAAAAAAATTCTTACAGTCTACAAATATTTTCTGGGTTTAAATAATCTGCAAAGGGTTGATAAGCCATAAAAAAACGAATCACTCAGTAAAAAAATAAAAATAAACAGCCTCGTCAGATTAAGACTTTTGCTTGGATGTCATGCATAGCGCCCGGCCCGTTCAGAAATATCTCAACTGTCAGCTGCATACAACCACTTTCTCAGATGAATGATTAAAAGTGGCTTCGAGCGAATGAAGCCCGTAGATTTTGTCGGGAACGATACGTCTTCGAATTTCGTGAACTGGTGCTACGGAATCACAAACGCCACATAATCACAGATAACAGAAACTACATCATTTGAGGACTTTCAAAAGCAGCAACAACGAAAATGGATATCACATGCAGCTCGAAGAGAAAATAATTAACCTAAAACCTCAAGTCATGTTCTTAAATAGCCTCATCAGATCATGACTTTCATATTGATGCCATGCCTGATGGTAAACCCATTGAGAAATATTTAAACTGTCATCTTTCTCAGATCAATGGTTAAAGGTGGCTTTAAGCGAATGAATCCTGTAGGTCTTAGCGAGGACAATCCTTCTTCAAACATTGTGGACTGGTGCTACAGCATCACAAAGAAAGAACTGTACCAAATAACAGAAACCACATCACTTGAAGACTTTTAACAACAACAACTAAAATGGATAGCACACGTAAACCGAAGAGAAAATAATGACATAATCAAAATGTTGATGTTCCACACAACTTTAAACAAAAGGTCAGGAAGGAAACTCCCATCAATTCTTGAAAGTGCGATAACAATGGACTTAAGAAAACTATTTCCTTGAAAAATTGTTTCAACAGAAAGAGTTTATAAATTTCAAACGATAGTAGCTCTGGTTATTTAGTACCTTAATATTACCTTATAAGGAAACGGCTAATATTACCAGTGGAGATGGGAACAGATACTACACTTTGATCCAATATCGATGGCCAGTAAGTGAAGACAAGCTTAACTCGAGTAGCATTGGCTGCTCGGTGAATGAATGTTGGATATTTCCTTATAAAGAAAACGGCTAATGTTACCATTAGAGATGAGAAGAACATATACTACACTGGCTGTTCGGTCATTGAATGTTCAAAGCAGTAGGAACTAGTAGCCTAAAAGAACTTGAATGACAGCAATTCTCCTCAACATTCTATGGCTCTTTGTAGTATTCTACTAATAATACCGTCGATTGGATAATTCCAGACCATACCCTAATTTCGAGTTCTCCCAATTTTTTTCTTGGGTCTTCAGGACTGTTCCCAACACTCCGAAGATGAATGGCACGATTGGTATATTCGTAAATATTCTAAAATGTCTAACATATTCTTTTTGTTCGTTACGACGACAAAATAAAATCTGCTGGCTAGGATTGAATAACCCATTTGAATCTTATCATACCAGAAAAGTTTCATTCGTTCTCCCGGACCGATCCTGGTTTGTGTCTAAACCATCGGTTAGTGTATTAAAAAAATACAGTGTCGTTTGCATTGTTCTCAGTGGAACAGCAGCACTACTCAGCTATGCCTATTTCTGTATTCTTTCTGGGCCAACATTCCCTGACGATGTGGTTCACTGAAACCTTATTTCTGTGCAACCTACATTTACTTGGTTGATAAGTCGTGGAAAACGAATTAACCAACCAACCTACATTTACTGTTTTCTATTATTATTATTATTATTAAGTGAGAAAGCAGCACGTCAGCAAAGTGACGATAGCTTATAAATATACAAAACCCAAAATATCAACCATGACACCCAGTTTGGTTTGGTTTGGTTTGGTTTGGTTTGGTTTGGTTTGGTTTATTTTGTTTAACGTCATATCAACCTCAATGGGTTAGTTAATGCCGACAACATTTTTAGGATAGATTCGTATGAATAGAATATGTATTCTTTGGTTTAGATTGGTTTGGTTTATTTTATTTTACGGCACACCAACCCCAATGAACTACTCAATGCCGACAAAATTCTTTATTGCTGGTAATATTTTGTTTTATCAAATTTGTAATATTTTTCCTTCAAAGTTGTATTGCTGGTAATAACCTTTTCAAAAAAGTATTGCTGGTAATTTGCCCATAGCTAGGACCCTATCAGGTGCTACCAGCGCAGGTCAGGGTGAACCTGGGAACACCAGCAATTAAGAGGTGGTTCCACGCTCCGCAAAACCTCCTGATCAGAGGCCTTGCTGCTGGACATAGTTTATCGTCTTACCCAGGACGTGGATGTAGTTTAACGTCTTACCCAGGACGACCATGACACCCGAACTGATACGGGTATATCAAACACATGCTTCACAACCGATATTATTATTGAGTGAGATAGCTTGAACTCCCAAGAACTTGACATTGCGTTACAAATTCAGTAAGCCTAATATAATTATAATGACCCCCTAGTCTGATAAAGTTATACCAAGCACATACACCACAGCCAAATGTGTACGATATAATTATAACTTTTGGTAAAATCACCGCATAACATTGCAGGTAGGGTGGTCCAGTTAGAAATATCTTTAGGTCGTTTAATCTCGTTCACTCAGACAATATGCAATTGAATATGTTCTCAAGTATCTAAATGTGATTTGCAAGTCTAATTGGCTGCCATAATCTCCAAATTAAAAAAATAATCTCGAAACCCGACGATAAAACTCTTGTATTGCTCCCGCTCATGGAGGCACTGTCAGCCTGTAGTTAAGGTCTGTCAACTGAGAAGAAAGTTTGTGGTATTGAATGGAATAATTATGGTGGCCCAAATTAATTTAGAAAGACAAAACGTACAGGTTAAACATTCAATCAACAATCAATTAAGATTAGAAACCCTGAGTGGCATGCCTAGTGTAGCATCAGTGCATGTATTAATATTATTAATAGTAGTGTTAGTAGTATTGGCATCTCCTTACAAAATGTGTCTTGTGGCTGTCACCAGGGATAAAATGTCATCAAATCTCTTCAAAGTTACTGATTTCTCTTTTTTGCTTTTACGTAGTTAATATTAATTGCGATAACTATATCCGGGATAATTCACCAAGATACAACCTCAAGTTATAAGGCCGAAAGTATGGGGCACCCAGTGAGGATCGAACTCAATACTCAGTCGTAAATGTTCTAGCAGGTACAACCTCAATTCATGGAAGGTTGGTGCTAAGCCGCGTGCGCTCAAACGGACTGGGCGACAATACCTGTAGTATTTAAATATCTTTAATATCTAGGCAGAAAGAGAAATAAAGAAAAAGAAGTGTTTGAAGACAGCGTACGTCGTCGTCGTCTTGTTGTTGTTGTTGTTTCTGCTGCTGCTGCTGTTGTTGTTGTTGTGTCCCTTCAGGACATAGGCAATCACGTTGTTCATGAGTTATCATTCGGTTATAACCAGTACTGACATGGGTTAACGTTTTTGGAAAATCCAGGTTCGTTGCTTTCTAAAGACCCTCGCTCAGAAGCGATGGTTGTTTTACTAAACAAAACTTACAGCGATTTTGGGACACGCTGTTAAGATCAAGCCCTAACGTAATAAGTCTAAGAAACCTTTCTTCATTTATATTCAGTAGTGCTTTTGTCATGTAAAGAGATATGTTATATGATCCTAGACCTAAATTTACCGTAAAAGACAGAAATTCAAGCACTTTCAATACTTTTTAGCTTTAATAACTATTTCTTCAATGTGTTATGTTCCTTCAGGTCGTAGGCGATCATGGTCCTCCACAATTTTCTGTCCTTTGTAGCTCTTAATAAATTTGGTCTTTGTTTTTCCTGAGCCTTGCTCCGGCACTCATTTACTCAAGCTCGCTGGGTAGGCAATACATTCCCTTCCTCTGACCCTCTTGCCTTTAATATGTCCTGTGACATATTAAAGCCTTCTTTCCTTATTATGTGCCATAGATATTTCAACTGAGTCTTCTTGATGTTAAATATAAGTGTCTTTTTGACTTCATTTTTTCTAAAACTTCATCGTTGTTCAATATGTTTGGTCCATGGCATCATCAGCATCCTACTCTAGAAGTATATTCCTGTGGCTTCAAGCCCAAGTCTCTTCATCGTTTGTGAGGAGACTGGCCAGCATTCACTGCCATATAGGAGGGTTGATATTGCATAACAGTTCAGTTGCCTTTTCTTTGTTTCTAACGAAGTTTTCCTGTTTCTTAATACATTGCTGAGCTTTTGGAAAGCTTCTTTCTTTATTCCTATGCGCCTTTCGGATTTTAGTAACGTATTTTCCGTATTCTGTTAAAACACTTCCCAGATATTTAAATTGTTGTACTTGTTTGATTTTGGGAGGTTCTTGGGAGGTTGAATATTTTTTAACAGTATTAATCTCCTTGAAGAATTTTATGAACAATGGAGATTGGCGTTTTTGGCATCAACTTGGTCAGCATTTTTCGTCTTTTTTCTCTTCGAGAAGTATGCATTTGGCCTATTCTTTCAAATTTATGTTTGGTTGATGATCATGTCACATTGAAACACTGTTTCTCGTACGATTACCGAAGTTAAGCAACATCGAGCCTGGTAAGTACCTAGATGGGCAAACGCTTGGAGACGCCATGTGCTGTAAGCTTGAATGTGCGGCTGAAATAATGGATAACGGCTCGGAATTGGAAATCTGGGAGACAGTTGGGTTTGTTATATTCACTTACGCGTAAATAACCCCGGGAAAGGCATGAATGCACTTCTCTCACCAGCTATGGCTTAATTGGTAGGACTTGTATTATTAAATCATTATTATCTCCCCCCCCACCCACAAAAATTATTCTTACAATGCAAAAATATTTTCTGGCTTTGAATAACCTGCAAAAGGTTGATAAGCCGTAAAAACAAATTAATCAATCAAACTTTATTTGCGGATAATTACACCCGGAAATGACGAAATCTCATGATTCCTAGTAAATAGTAACCTCATGTATCCTAGAGTTGACAATTAGTCCTTTAGTCTGGAATCATGAATGAATGGAGCCCATATCATTGGAAAAAAATCCATTAATTGATGACATTCGTGTACCGCCATTTTATAACAAGAACAATATTCATATTTATATTTAAGTATGTAATAATGTACAAGTATCGGGATTACTTCCCTTTGACTGGAATTAAAGTCTTTACTAATGAAATATTTTTTTATCTGAGATCATTGGAAGTTGAATGAACTTGCCGCTCAAAATGTTCACTTTGAGATAGTTGAAAGAATTCTGTAAAGCTGAAAATATGTTAATAAACTTTTGACTTCAGAAGAGTTGAAGGAGTGAATGTTCCGTAATGTTTGTAATTAAGTTTCTGTTACTTGTAGTTGGATATTCGTATTATGTTGATGCTTGTATTGTTCTGTAATGTTCGTGATGTTTGTAATTAAGTTTCCGTATGTACGTGTATGTGTGCTTGTGTGAATATGTTTTCATAGCGTCTGCCCGCAAGGGGTCGAAACGCGATTTCTTAAACAGCTACATTTTAGTAAGTGAGAGAAATCAAAAATAGAGGAAGAACGAACTTGTGTCTGGTATTTATAATCAACGTACTCACGTGATAGGCTCCGGAAAACATAAACAGAATTTGGTGGAATGTTTTTTCGTCAGGTCAGGAACTAGGTCGATGTTATTCGGACGTAGTTGAGAACATGATTTAAATATTAACTGACCAATAAGAGGTGAGAAAAATATCAAGGCTCTGTGATCCACTTTTTGCACAGATTTGCACAAAATTTGACATTGATAGAAAAAGTGGTAGCAGGATGCTATAAACCTCAATTGATGATACCCGCCATTTAATAGTTAAGTAATGTTGCAACCGCATTCTATATATAAATCAACAAAAATTTAAAGTTGCTCCGCATTTTATAGTTTATATTCAATATATCTTGAATATCAAACTAAACAAATGGCATTCAATTCGTCAGTAAATAATTATGAAGTTTTATCTAACACGAGTTGCAGACGGCTTGTTTATAGATTCAAGATGGTGGCGTCAGTTGTGTTGGTAAGTTGAGAACGTAGGAATATCGGTCGACCAAAGTCTCTTCAAATTATTCGAGTAAACTAAGGTATGGGAAGAAGAAGCTGAAGAGAGAATTTAGAAGGGAAGATAAAGAGAGAAAGGACACGAAATTATGCAGGGAGGGTAAATATTGTAGTGAGGGAGAAGAAAAAGAAGAAAGTGAGAGCGAAAGAGGAGGTAGGAGGAATGGGAGAGAAAGAGAGAGAGAGAGAAGGGAGGAGAGAGATTAAGTAGTATCATATATCTACATAATTAAGGCACCAATATTTAGAGAAAACGATTACTTATTTTAATGTCACATTTTATTGTGTAGTTCACAAGTGTAGTGAGTTGTGCCAGAGAGACTTGGTAGTTATTTTATCGGAAACTTTGAAATAAAACGAACTGTGGTGTGAGGGATAAACACATAATATATATTCCTTATTTGATTTAGATTGGAGTGAGTCTTTTGATATTTGGTGTAGCAAATGGTCGAGAGACAGTCCAGGTCGGCGTCAATCTGTTGTGTTTTTCTTGGTTCGTGTGAGAAAAGATTCATTTAGAAGATTCAAGCGACACGCATGGCTAGTTTCTCTGGCGGTCCCTTCTCCGTTACTGTCACAAGGCGATCAGTTTATATCCTTTCGATAAGACTCCCAGACTACTGGCACGAACCTTGGTTTCGGCTAACATCAAAAGTCTCTATGTTATTTTTTGATTGATCAAAATTATTTTATTTTCCGGTGTTCCTTTATTTCCTTTTTATTTTTATATAGCGGAAGTTATGCGTGGACCCTCTCTGATTTTTGGTAGTTTTTAGTCACAAATGGCTAGACTCTGGTCCAGTAAACTTCTGCTGTTTCTCGTACTTCCTCTTTTTTTATTTGAGGGTTGCCTTCTCATTTGTTAAGAGAGAAGTATATAGAAATAAGTTGAGAGAGAGAGAGAGAGAGAGAGAGAGAGAGAGAGAGAGAGAGAGGGTTTTAAAGGAAGGCGCAACTGCCTTATTTTATTTGAATTCTTATTTTTGTTTATATATTTTGTTTTCATATTTTATTATAATTTATTTTTATCGGGACTCACTGCGTAGTTATAATTATTGCTACGTGATGCAAATAATAGTCAGTTCATTATTTAAACAAATTAGTCATAAATAATCAACAGTGCCTTTTTAAAGCCATCTGTAACTTATTGTCAACTAAGACTGGGTTTACATTTACATAAGTAGCGAAGTAATCATTCTAAGTAGCACAATAATCGTTCTAAGTAACGAAGTGATCGTTCTAAGTAATGCGGTTAATCAAAATAAGTGCTGCTTATTTTTTCCGCTTAGTTTGGAGGAAAACACGATGAATCATCATGAATTTTTTTATTTTTCTATCTTTATTTAAAAATTAAAAAAAAACAAACATAAAAAAGAAACTAAGTAATATATTTACAGTACACACGCACATACATACTGTATCGATTCTTTCATTTTATAACTTTTAATTTTATTATAACATTTAAAAAAATAAATAAATAATAAACACACATTTAAATATGAAAGCTTCAGTTTTGACTGAATTTTCACCGGTCCTTACTGAGCAAGTTTTATTAATTTTGGCTATATTTTCTATATGAGGAATCAATGATTTTGTTAGGTGCCTCCAAAGAAAAGTGATACCAAAAGTTTAAAATTAATTTTTAAAAATGAAAAAAAAAACCCAACTTTTATTTTAGTTTTAATTCCATGCTAATAGATTAAATTTGCTGCGTTTCAAAACGTATTTGAATGGATAGGAACAAGTTTTTTCTTTTTTTGAAATCGCTACAAAATAGCTGATTTTAGCCATATTTAAAACTCTAATCAACATAATTCTCTATATTAAAATTTTTCAGAAATAAAATATACTTTTCTGAAACTTTATTTGAGTAATATTCGTTGTTTTAAAGTTTAATTAATATGATTTGAAACAAGTATTGCTTACTTTTCGTTTAAAATATCTCAGAAAATCATTTTTTATACGTAGGTGGGTGTTTTTATGAAGTATTCACAACTATTTCGATAGACTTATGTTTGGAAACATTTTCTACGGTGGACATATCTGTAAAAATTATTTGACATATATAACGTGAAGGACATTTTTATATAATTAAAAAAAGATACCCAGTATTCTTAAAAACTTAGAAAAATATTCTAAGTAATCTAATGTTTTATTGAATTTGAGATACATTGGTTTTAAATTTACTATAATTACTGCTCTTATTTCCTGATAATGTTGTGTATCGACGTCCGTATTTGCACACACGCAAAAATAAGAAAAAATCTTTTTAAAATACAGGTGGTCACTGAATTGTAGTAAGCTTTTTCATTTATGATTAATAAATAAAGCTTTTATTTAATAATAATATCACTTGACCACGACAAATTAATACAGAATTTTAAAAGTTTTAAAACTTTATGAATCATTTTAATTAAAATAAAAAAGGAAAACAATTCTCGTAAAAATTCATTATTCATTTAAAAAAAATTTAAAGCTTTTATAATTAAATAATGTTTTAGTATTATTGCATTTTTTATTTTTCGATTCAGAGCAGATTTTCTATAACTGGGGGGTGGGCCCTGTTTTACAAAAAAAATGAAGATTTAGATTCTCCAAAGACGTGAGCTTATAGTTAATACAAATATTAAAGGCTACAAATATGAATTTCTCGAAATTTCATAAAACTATATAAGTGTGTGTGTGTATGGGGGGGGGGGTAACAAAAGTTTTTTTAAAAAAGAAACATTTCTAAAATAATTTCATTCATTTGCAAATAAGTCCTGAAAATTTCATTAAAATCTGACAATTATTACAAGAATTTCCACTCATTGAGTTCTTCACCGCAAAAAGACGCTTAAATTACCTATGCTAATTTATGGTCACCCACTGATGCAAGAAAAAAAAGTTTTTCTCCATAATTTTGAAGGTTCTGAAAAGGATTAAAAAATACTTTAATAATTTATAAATATTTTTGTCTTTCCTCTTTGACAATAAAACTTTGTGGCATTTTTTCATATCATTTTTTCAAATAAATCTTTGGAGGTACCATAGATATAAATAAATAATCTTTAGAAATAACTCTATCGTAGCATTCAAGAAAGAATTCTGCTTTTTAAATCATTAAAAGTATAACTATTCAGAGAAAACTATCACGAAACAAAAGCATTGTATTAGCAACCTGGTCTATCTATTTAATAAGACGAAACATTTTCAATTCGATAGAATTGATTAACGTTAATGTTATCATAACAATGCAAAGAGTATCTCGTTACTAAGTAGTGAGACCAGCTTGCGTAATCGATAGTCTCGTTAATTGCGCATGCGTTATTCTCCGGTGCTTTGCTTTTTCTGGACGTTCGTTTTGCAGCCTCTGAGCTGCCCTAATACGTGCCTCAGCTCTCCTTGCATTGGCTTCTTCCTCTGTTTCATTCGCAATACGTTTCGCTTGTCTCCTTCGCAAATCTGCGCGCCTTTTTTCAGCCTCTTTTGCCGTTTCATTCGCAATACGTTTCGCTTGTCTCCTTCGCAAATCTGCTCACTTTTTTTTCAGACTCTTTTGCCGTTTCATTCGCAATACGTTTCGCTTGTCTCCTTTGCAAATCTCCCCGCCTTTTTTCGGCCTCTTCTGCCGTTTCATTCGCAATACGTTTCGCTTGTCTCCTTCGCAAATCTGCCCACCTTTTTTCAGACTCTTTTGCCGTTTCATTCGCAATACGTTTCGTTTGTCGTATTCGTGCGTCAGCTTTCCTCGCTTCAGTCTCTTCTAGAGTTTCGCAACTTAGCTCCCTGAATCTATAGATCGCATCTGCAACTTTTCTAGCAGATCTCTGTTCAAGAGTTTGCCGAGCACTTTGTCGCATTTTTCTTTCTTTTGCTAGACGTCTTTTCATTTCCTGTTGCGTCTCCATTAAAGGCGGCCCCCAAAGATACGAAATAGAAAAAAAAAAAAAAATCCTGCAATGCCTTTTTAAAACGTATCACTTTCATGTAGTTGAATAAAATATAAAATAGTATTGTTTTGACTTTTGTTGTGGATTCCGGGTTGAAATCCGGTACCAATAAATAACAAACGCCAGGAATGAATATATGAAAATAATGTATTAACGTAATAATACAAACGGGTAAAGCAGGTTAGTAGTTCCAGGAATACGGGTTAGTAGCAAAATATATATACAGTCTTTGGTATTGAAGTATTGCTGTATGACTTCTTACTGAGTCTACGTGCTCGCTCACTGTGACTCCTACAACGCTGTTACCTCACCCCTCACTCTTCCGGTTACCTACAACCTTTTACTCTGTCACTCTGGACTCGACTCGACTCTGTTCTGCTCTCTCGGGTCTTCACGTAGCCGTAGTATATGTATATACTGGGTGAGTCCATTTGTGTAAAAAGGGGAGAACCCCTCAACAACTTTTAATCCTTATTTTATTTTAAGTGGGGGGGAAAGTTTACAACATGATTATTTTTTAATTATAAAACACGTTGATTTTTGTTTCAAGTTCCCGGCTTCACCTGGGATAAGATATTAAAGCTCCGAGGAAACTTAAGAAGCCCAATATGCATGAAATCAACTCACCTGATTTTTTTTCCTGATGGCTAAAAAAAGTTTATATTGGATCTTAGTGAAATTGGTAAGAGGTTACATACATTTATTTAAGACATAAGCGGCAGTTATGTGCATTTATTTAAGACATAAGCGGCAGTTACGTACGTTTATTTATGTTGTAAAAAAAATCAAATATTAACATTTTTTAATCAGCAGTTATTTACGTTAAATTATTATTTACATCGTAAACGGCACTGATTTACATTTCTTTATAGTTATTTTGGCGATACCATTTTACGTAATATATGCACACACACATGGACAAACAATCAACTTCAGACAGTGATTTACGGGTGTATAATACGCACTAACTACTTAATTCTTATCGAATGACACAAAATGCGTATAAAAGTAAAACTTCTGTTTCCCAATTAAATAGGGTGTTGATAAGGATGTTTTAATCACTAACAGACTGCGATGTTTTACTTATAAATCCATTCTACGGCTCTCATCCAGAAAGACAATGTCGTTACAAGAGTCTTTTGTGCCATTCATTGGTTAAACTGATCGACAGTAGCCGTTGTCCTTTTGGGTGATTAATGATCCAGCAAAGCGAACGAGTTGCAGCAGTCGATTCAAACGATAAACAGACAGACAGACAGACAAATAGATAGATAGATATGAATAGAATGGGATATAGAGATATGAATAGATAAGATATTTTAAGACATTTTTTATGTTTATACGTTTTTTTTATAGATACAAATATTTAAGTAAATGCTCTGTTTATAATAAACAGTATTAACGACATTTACCGGCCCGAATGTCCGAGGAATTTTCATAGAAAATATGCAATCGAACCTGTATCCTATACGGAACCGTTATATAGCCAGACGTGCTTTTACCGATTGAGCCACAGAGGAGCGTTTCGGTTAGCAAGGTCGATTTTACTGTTTTTAGACTACATTTCTCCGCGATTTTCTCTCGTACATTCATATCATCTCGGTGCGTATCCAAATGTAAACAAATGACGTTATACATTATAAAATGGACAAAGTCCGACAATTATTTTAAGACATTTTTATGTTTATATCGAGCAGATATGAATGTACGAGAGAAAATTATTTAGAATGTTTTTTGGTGTAAAACATGAAATACTTAAACTAATTTTTTTAAATAAGTATGTATATAAAAAAGATGCATTAAAATTTAGATTCTGAATCATTGAAGGGGCACCATCGAATTTAAAATATCCACTCTAACTTGAAGAGGAGGGACCCAAATCCTATAAATTGTTTCAAATTAGTTCAAAGGAGCCCCATTAAATCTGAAAATAAACAAATCTCCTCTGTTCTTGTCATTTTTATTTTTTTTATCAAGGATCCAAGACTAGAGGGTATTTGGGGGTGGGGGTGGCTGTAGTCTTGGTTCTCCTCAGCTGCAGCCTATACTTGCACTAGATAGATATGAATTGATTGAGATAGGTAGATAGATAGATAGATATGAATTGATTGAGATAGGTAGATAGATAGATAGATATGAATTGATTGAGATAGATAGAGAGATAGATAGATAGATAGATAAATAGATAGATAGATAGATATGAATTGATTGAGATTGGAAGATAGATAGATATGAATTGATTGAGATAGATTTTACTCATAGAGAAAAAAATCAGTTGTTTCATTAAGTGTGTTGGGGACGTGCAGAGTTGTTAATTATTTAAGAAAGAATCAGAAGGAATTTTGGAGTTGGTTGCGTGTCTTATAATATCCCAAACAAATAAATAAACGAACTTCAAAATGCAATTAAAAACATATACATATATTTAGAAATCAATGCAACATTTATATACAATTTAACAATATACAGATTGGATAATCAGTGTGTGTCGTGTGGACGAAATGTGTATGTAATTGTTAGATTTGTGAATGTCTCTTTGTTGATATTGTTCGTTGATTCGCAGTCTTTTTGTTTGTGTCAATAATTGTAATTGTGAATAATAAGAGTTTTTTGGAAAGTGTGTTTTAGAGTGATCTACCCTTAAACGTAGTTGATGTTTTCGTAATGTTGTATGTTCGTTGATGTTTAATTATTTTAAAGTAGTGAATTTAATTCACTGTACATAAGCAAAGTTGAGAAAAGTGTTTTTGAGTTGATTAATGAATGATCGAATATGAGTCATAGATGTATCTTCGTGCGCGGCAAAATTGTGATTCGTAGTGGCGTGGATGATATTGGAAAGTGCTCTGCGAATTCGTGAGACTGACTGTCTGGGGCTGTCTACGTTTATTTTTATATCGTTTGAATTTCAAAAACAATCACTTGACTTTTGGCGCAATTTCTGTTTTGCAAATGAACTTCAAGTGATTGACCAATGGGGTTGTTTGCTTCATTTCTTGCCGTTTTTATTGGTTGAAATTTTTTTAGGTACGTAGGCGTACGATGTGGACTGTGCTTTTGTTAGGGTTGGGAAGGTAAGGATATTGGACGAGTCCACAAGTGCATCAAAAAGAACCCTTGCTCAATGTGAAATTGAGAAAGAATTTGTTTATTTAAAATAAATTATGTACCACCGAAAAGGATATTTTTCTCGTAATGAAAGCAAAAATTTTTTTATAGAATTATTTTTTTGGGATGGGGTTTTTTATGTTTAATATCCCCCCAAAAAAAAAAAAAAAACTATTTATGTATATGTGCACCTTTTAATGGTGGTGGGCCTCCAGTTTTTTTCCAGTTATATAAAAAGAAATCCCTAAAGAATTTCAGTAAAAAAATTATGTAATATCGAATGTGAACATATGGAAAATTCGTCTCGCGTCTTGCCAAATACAATTCAACAAAGCACTAAAAATAATCTTTTTTGAGAATCGCTGCTTGCATAATTTGATAAAACACTATTTTTTTTTCAGATTCAGCGGAAAAATAAACTTAATATTTATTTTAAAAAAATTACCTTTAATATTTCAGTTAAATTTTTAACTTAATCCCGTTGTGGCGGACTTGACCACATTAATTTAACTTAGATTAGGAAACCAAACTGACGCCAAGGAAAAGAGGATAAGCCAAAGACATCATTACACATAAAATTTGTATTTAACAAGATGGACAAACAAGGATGTGAAAGAAAGCCATGCATTGTGACGTCGCCCCTCCTTGGTCGCAGCGTCGACTCTGTCGTTCGATCTCGTTCGCGGCTCCAACTGTGACGTGACGTGATGTGGCCGCCCAAGGGTCGATCACTGTCACGGACAGCACCAGTTGTGACGTTTTTTTTGCCGCGGCGTCAGTTGTTCGCTCCTCGCTGCTCCAAGTGTGACGTTCCAATCCTCTGGTTAGATGATTACCAGCCTCGCCGTTCCCAACTCGCTTCCAACACCTGGTTACTAGGGTAACTGTACTGATCTCCGGTCTGCCTACCCACGTTGTGATTAGATCTTAGACAGACGGGATCAAACAGGGATTGGGGCCGTATGCTAGCTGGGTTCAACGGGGTGGCAACACACAAGTAAAAAAAAAAAAAACTCACGAGGCAAAAAAATTACTGATAAAAAAGGGTAACAACCTTTTATATCTAATGTTCGTTACATAAAAAATTATTCTTACTTCCCGACCCGTTTTGTGGACTGTGGCACCAAGCTTCTATCACACAATTTAAAGACTTCGAGTTGCCTACTCTCTAGAATTTTGTATGTCGGAGTGTGGTTTGGTTTCGACACTGGGCGCTAATCTCTACCAGTCGTTCACGGCTGATTCTTCTCTTCGGCTTGAGTTGGACGAGCTTATTCCTTCGGCTTGAGTTGGACGTATTTCTTCACTTCGATTTGGGTTGGACGAATTTCCACCTGGCCTGGTTTCAACTTCTTCTAGACGCAACTGCAAGTCCGACTTCTTCTTCTTCCGTCCTGCAACTCTTTCTCGCCAAGGTCCGAACTCTTCTCTCTGCCGTCTGAGGTGATCTCTTCTCTCTGCCTCCCTTCTCGGGGCTGAACTGTTCTGCTTGTTTGGCCTGCAACTTTATTCTGCCTGTCTGGCCTGGCAATTCTTCTGCTGGTCTGGCCTGCAGCTCTTCTGCTTGTCTGGCCTGCAAACTTCTGCCTATCTGGCCTGCAATTCTTCGGCCTGTCTGGCCTGCAACTTTATCCTGCAGCTCTTCTGCCTTTCGGGCAATTTTCTTCACTTCGACCTGCAATTCTTCTTGGCCTGTCTACCCCGCAAAGGCAACTCTCTGATTTCTGTCGGT